TGATATCTCTATAGTGGCTGAGTCTTTTGGTTTTGATGACTTTGTACATTCAAAGAAACACAATGCTGTTTTGAAAATTAAAACAAAATAGATAATTGCTTTAAATTGGTAATAACACTGGATTCTTGTTTAAGATAATATGTTAAAAAGAGGTAATCGTTTACCTTTAGATTTACGTGTAAAAATTATTATTACAGCAATACAACCACCTACAGCAACCAGACCTGCAGCCAAACCGACCCATTTATAATCACTGCTAAAATTATTATTGTCATCTCTTTTCTCATCTGTAATTTCTGGTAGTGAATTAATGAAATATTTAGACAAAGTCACCTGGTTTAACATATATTATCTGTTTTAATGGCAATATAATAAAATAATCCAATGAATGGTTTTTTTAAACTGATGAATCTTTCATAATAAAAGCTTAATTGATTCAAAAAGATTGTCTTCCATTTTTGTAACATTATTAAAGACAACAACTAGTGATAATAAGAATGACATCAAACGTGTTTAACTTTATGAGTGTAATCTTTTTAATACTAATACCACAGTCAAAAAAAAATATTATTACAGGTAAAGTGGAATAAGAAATAAACGTAAAAATAAAAACACCCTACCCTTAAAACATTGCTAATTTTATATTTTATAATAACTTATACATACTATTTCTAAAAAATGTATTGTTGAAATCAAAATTCTATTTTAATACAAAAAGTTGCTGTCAAAAATTATGACGAGAAATACAAATTGTATATTGTTAAATTTATTTAATGGGGTTTTTACCCGACATTTAAGGTAAAAGGCAACAAGAATGGAGGACGCAGTTAATTTTGTTTCCTACACACTTAACTGCTATCGGGCTTTTACTCAGGGGCGTAGCGAGGGGGGGGGGGCGGGGGGTGCGGATCGCACCGGGTGACACCATTTAGGGGGGTGACACCAAGGCAAAAAATAGCAAAATATATAGAGAAAAACTCGAGGGGGGGGTGCAAATCGAAAGTTTGAGGGGGGGTGCAAATCGAAAACTCGAGGGGGGGGTGCAAATCGAAAGTTTGAGGGGGGGGGTGCAAATCGAAAACTCGAGGGGGGATGTGCAAATCGAAAGTTTGAGGGGGGGGGTGCAAATCGAAAATTTGAAAGTTTGTCCCTTGGAAGGGTCTCTATGCCTCTGGGGGGTGACACCATTAAGTGCCGCACCGGATGACACCCGACCTCGCTACGCCACTGCTTTTACTATATTTAAATAGATAGCAGTGGCCTACGTCCATGTAACGTCTTATTCAGGTAAATGGCGCCCGTTATCTATATATATAATTCTCTTCTGGGAGACACTAGAAAACAAGCTGTAAACGCGCTCCCTACCACCCCCACCCCTACATGGTCTTAGTGAGCTGTGTTCACTCTTAATGTTTACAAGCAGAGCCGGGTTTAGTGACGACTATTAGGGGCAGATAATTTAGTTTGAAACTATTTTAAACGTGTGTGTGGGGGGGGGGGGAGGGGGACGGACGGAAGAGGGGGTTTATGGTCCTTAACGTGCTACTTATAGTGTTTTAAAGAAATATTTTCAGTGGCAGCGTTGGTACCGTCGAACTCACAAATTATGAATTACTGAAGAGTAGAAAAAACAACAACTAAATAGAGGCGTATGTTATGCCGCGGGCCGGCTCGTTCTTTTTATTTGAGCTGAAACATTCCTTTAGTCTAGTTCACCTGGCGATTTTTCATCAGTAATTGACTAAAAATATTACTGATACCAATGTGCACAGTTATGAGACATGTTCTATCTAAATTATGAGCCACATTATTACTATAGAGAAAGAAACCACTGTGAACTATATAGACAAACAAAGAAACTATACATATAGTTGGAGATTTAAAAATAGCATCAAGAAATTACTTAGAAAAATACGAGAGTGACGTTTTATATACTGAGGTTAATTAAAACATACTAAAATAGCAATCGCTACATAATGAATAAAATCAACAGACAATTTTTAATATAATGTGCAAAAAGGGCCAAATAATTAAAATATGTCTCCATACATTTATATTACCTTCAGTACAGTGCGGAGGTTTAAATCCTGCCATACAACCTCCATCACACGTGCCGTCCTTATGGTTACAGCTGTCTTTGTTAGAGCAGTTCACACTACAAGAGTTTCGGCAGTCAACACCCCATGTACCTGCACTACACTCTGAGATAGATTTATCACAAAATATATTTTACTACCTTGTTGTTGTTCAGCTGAACACAACAAACATTAGTTCAAACATTAGAATTTAACGGTAATAATAATTGTGGGGTTTAAAATAAATACATTTTCTCTCACCTGTCTGACACCCTTCAAATGTGTAGCCTGGAGCACAGCCAGATGGACAGGTACCAGTGTCCACGTGACATTGTTCATTGTTGACACAGTTACATTCTTTAGTACAGTCTAGGCCGTATTTGTTCTTTGGGCATATATTGACTGGAGAAATACAAGCGTCGACATTAAGCAACTAGTAGACAAACATTATCTCATTATTTAGACAATTTGAGAGTTTTTATCAGTGACGTATTCTAACAGTTACAATAGGAAGTAAAATAGAGCTAAGTTTTATAACTTGCACTCAATTTAAGTAGTTTCAAAGAAAATCTGTGGATTTAATCAAAGACACACGAGCAACACGTTAATTATTTTAGTTGAAAATATATAACTATGCTGCAAACCTCCATAAACCTCGGCCTCACAAAAATTTAAATAGTCTACATCCAATGTGACGTTGACACCAGCAACATCACGTGATCCTGATACAACAGTATGGACTAGTGCCAGCGCCTCAGGTGCCGTGTATGTGAACACTTGGTCACCTTTGTTGTTCCAACTTGTTAGTGTAAACCCACTGATTCTTTTGGGGCAACAAGTTGTTGATGCTACAAAAGAAAAAGATAGAAATTAGTCAACATTTATACTGAGACATTTTAAAAAATAATTATTTATTCAAAGATATTTAATTCCAAGTAAGCGGCAGTATCATTTATCTCAGTCCGGTTTTAGGAAGTAGAGCGATGATTGCAGATCAGTTTCTTTTAGGCATCTCTTCGTCGGAGCTCTGCCGCCCACCTCCGCCGAAAGAAATGGTATTTATATAGAAAACATATACTGTTATTATTGTCCCTCCCCCATGAAAATATCTAATGCCCCTTACCCTCGAGAAGAAACTGGAAGAAACACTTTTGCAGATGTTAGCGAATGTAACCTGCAGCAAAGATATAATGTAACGCTATTTTTAATATTTTGAGAGCAACATCCGTTACAAGTGCAGCTGTTTCTGATTTTTAAAACTACCACAGTACTTTTCTTCAGTATTATAATTTACGTTTTGAAAGACACAACATTTGTAATATTTAATTCTGTTGTTTAAACAAGTGTGTCTAATTTCTGTATGTTATAACACTGTGTCATTTCCTCAGAAGTTGTGAATGTATAAGTCCTAATATTTCAGTAAGCCCGTACCGTCGACCATCTTGTCTTACGTTAACACACTCTCAGTTGTTTGTTAATTCATTTTAGGGTTAATTTCGTCGCCTGGGCATGACATGTTGGCTCATCTCTATTCTGTAATTCCCTTCTTATTCTGAAACACTAGGGAGTGCACTAACGAATATACATTAAATTTCTCTTTACATTATGGCGACTTGGATTAAGGGACAACAATAATTATAATACCGTACACACAGAGAGCCGGCCCGACCATTGCTGAACTAGTCATCTTTATAGAGATTCTTTAACATTCAAATTGAGATCTGCTTTAATTTTTTTGCATCAAGGTGCGTATAGACCAACTACAGTTCACAAAACGACCTATACACTTTGCGGCCCCTACTTAGAAAGTTATTTATCTCCTTGTTTCTAGGGGTGGGGTGGTGGTTCTCGGCACAGTTATCAAATCATTAAGACTAAGATAGCTTTCCAGATGGATTTTGTGGTGTATTCCCATCGTGGCTGATACAACCACTAAAGTATCGGCCAGTTGAACAAGTAGCCTATAATTACCAACATTTATTCCATCAAAAAGGAAAAAGAGAAAGGTGGTACACGACTATAAACTACTAAAATAAATGACCACAGAAATAGGGTTGTTCGAACTGTCGCCTGAGCGAAATGATGTGTTGACCATTAAATGATGTGTTGACCAATCGGGTCAAGTTCCCGAATGGACACTTGCACGAATGCCGTTTCCCGAGGGCCGATTTCCCGAATGGACACTTGCCCGAATGCGACAAATGCCCGAATGGACACTTGCCCCAATGCGACATATGCCCGAATAGACACTTGCCCGAAGACCGTTTGCATAACATTATTAATATAATATATTTACACTCAGATATTCTTAATTAATTTGTATTTGCTATATAAAAAGTGTACAAACATATTTTCTTTTCTATCTATGAAACAAGAACAAAAAAAAAAAAAAATTTCTCGTATTTTTAAATGAATCACGTTCTTTATTAAGTAATCGCTTCAATATATTTTCTAAACAAAGTGCATTTAATGGAGATAAAACATAATTGAAGACCTTTAGTTTTTCAATTCGCCGCATAGATCGCGCCTCGTTCTTTTGTTAAATGATCACCACACCAGTTAAGCATAACAAGATGAATAAAAACAAATCTCGCTTCTGTTTAATGTTGCGAGACGCCGCGCCGCCTACACCGTGTAATAAACGCAAAATAACCACCGCAACACGTCGGCTAAAAAAAGTGTTCAAAACTAACATCAAAAGAATGTAAAGACAGGGCCGCCAACAACTGTAGTGAACGAGTGAAGTGGGATGAATGGGGGCGAATGTTGTTTGTACTTGTTACCCTATCCTGTTCGTCCTTGTTCAGTTCCAGTGTTTCTTCCAGACTATTTTCTATGTGGAGGGGGGGGGGGCACTTGATATTTTCGGGGGTGGGGGTGGTCAACATTTTCGAGGTAGGGGAACGGTAAAAGTATGTATTTTCTATGTAAATTCCATTTCGTTCGGGGGGAAGGGGGCCTCTTTTAGTTTCAACGAGCCCTTGTTTCATTCTTTCTTGTTTTGTTATCCGTTTGTGAATGTCTTATATGTTGCGCTATGCATTAGATCACCCGAAAAGCGTGTCCGTGTGTTCACAACATCATCTTACATTTATTAAAGAATAAAGAAGTTTTTTACAGCAATTTCTCATGTTTGAAAAAATAAAAAATACATTTTTAAAACAAAGTTTGTTTTTACGCTTAGAATTGTGTTGATTATCAAAATTTCAAACTTGAATTGATTAAGAACGTCTATTTGGTAATATATTTTTTTAAATTTAATATTTACATTTTTCGGACAAATGGCATTCGAGCAAGTGGCATTCGGGTATTTGTCGCATTCGGGCAAGTGTCCATTCGGGAAATCGGCATTCGGGCAAACGGCATTCGGGAAAACTTCCGGCTCCCATAAATGTCACACTCCTTATAATTATATCGGTCAACAACAAAGAAAATAGCTTATGTGGTCTAAACACACAAACATAGGTATGCTATGATTCTATGAAATTGTGATCAAAAAGGAAATACTCACGATAAGTATCCCAGCGACTATACAAAACATATCTGTTGATACGGTATTCTTCGCCACTAAAGTTAACTGTCCAGTAATGTGGCTGATCTCCAGTCTGTTTCTTGGTATGCATACAGGAACCCTTGAACAAGTCTCTATTTCTGTTTCCATCTACAGCATTAGAAGCGTTAGAACTTCCACCATAGTCAGTATACGTACTATCTTGACTTGCAGATTGTTTAACAGCAACGTTTCTTCCTATAATTTATTTTATGATTCCGATTTGATAATTTATTTTGACAGAAGCGATTTCATGTACACAATTAACAAATGAAATAATGTCATGCTAAAACGTTCGAGTTACCTCCACTGATATAAACATTGCAGATATTTTTAACATTTTCCCCAGACAAAACAAGACGTGTCATATTTACTGTTGTCCGACATCTGAACTCAACCGTGTCCTGGCTGATAGCTGATTGGTAAATCATGTCACACGTAGAGTTTCCGTCAGTAATGTTGATGTTTATATTTGATGTCAGTTGTTTTGCTGAAACACAACTAAAACCTATTTAGGAAACTGCAGTTTCGTTTAAAGATTCATAATATTTTTGATAATTTAAAAATGAGTAAATGTATAATAATATAATACATTAATTAGAACATTTTGATGAAGAATTTTCAGCAGTAGAGCGGTGTCTGTATAATAACAAAGGAAGCAGAAAAGCAAATCAGAATTCTTAAGTTAGAGCACAGTTGATATGTTATAAAATGAATACGTATTTCACCTGCACCCTCCGCCCCATTTTATTTAAATAAAACCAGGCTCTATATCATGCCTATATAACAAATCATAAAATTTAGCCCGCCTTTTCCCACAGAAAAAAAGACTAAACAACATTTTTAAAACATGTTTTGAAAACAAATGGTACTAGTGTAAAACCAGGGCTTATTAATAACACTTTATACATATGTGTCTTGGAGATATTATATTTTAAACAAAATACTATCAACAGTAAAGTAGATTGTTTTTTTTTATATCTAACCTGGCTTTTAACTGCAAACTTTAAAAAAAAACACAAGGTTTGAATAATATACCAAAGCACCACCAATTCCTTTTATACGTACTAAATTTGTTATTATAAATTCAGCAATGATACGTTGCTAGTTGCCATGAATATAGTAAACAATGGATTCTATTCGTACATAATGTAAAGAAAGACAAATCATTGCTATGGTTTACAACATAACGTTTGTCTGCTTTTCCATTATGGTTATCGCATCGTTTGCCTAGATAATACAATCCTGCTTTGATATTCTGGACTGCTGTATTTGTTTAAAATATATTTTGAGAACCTAGATCTCCTTTCCAACTTTAGAAGAGATCGATGTTAATCAATGAGGTTATAAGACTAGTTCAATACTTACTGTCCGGATTGAACTTTACCCACATAAAGGTGAAAGGATAAGGAATTTTCCAGGACACTTCATTTCTTTGATTAGCCTCTGAAGCATTACACAATTGCCTTACAAAAGGTGACTTGGCCGTATAAATGATTGCTAAATCCTCTGAAATATGAATGTTGTTTACTATACAAAAAAGCTATATTTCTTTACATTAAATTGTTATATTTTACTATTACGTTATGTGTATTTGATATCTATAAAAAGAAGGCTTAGGTTTTATGTCTTTCTTGGCGTTTTTTTTATTTTGACTTGCTGGAAAATAAAACTAGGCCCGGACATAGACGGTGCGAACAGATAACTAGGACGGATGATCGGCTTCTACAATCACTTCTAGAAGTCGAATTAACAGCAGCTTATCAAAGCTTCATAGAACATAAATATTGATAAAAATATGTAGTAATAGAATAAATCAAGTTTAAACTATTGTAGCAAAATAATATGTATGGAGAAAAATAATAGGCTCTTTATCAATTGCATTAGGATACAAACGTATTTATTAAAATGTATAATTGTAATGATAAATGTATTAATTTAGACAACTTATTCCGTTATTTCCTGCTATAAAATAGTGTATCAAATAGTAACCCATTAGACCAAATGGTAACTATGGCAACTGTTATTTGAGGTGAGATATGAAATGACAGATTGACAAAACAAGACATTCGCACAAATACGTAAAAGCTTTAGATTAAATCATCCTTTCTGAATCATAAACACTGATCTATCAACTATTGATGAGTCAGGAAAGTACAGCACATTTTGTTTAATTATCATTTGCATGCCCCATCAAAGAAATCGATTCGGAAAGTTGATAGAATTGTACACAAATGTCCTCCATGATTTTACGGACTCTTTTTCGAAAGATAGAGAAAGTATTGTAATCGTGCAAAAAATCTAAAGCGTGATTTTCACAAATCTTGACAATTTATACCTCCCGAAGTCGGAAAACTTTAGTTTGCAATTGTTTCTGTAAGTCTGTGTCTGCCTGTGTATCAGTTATGTTGACAAAATTGCATATATAGGTTTTATTTCAAATTTATTTTCTGTATTAGTCAGCCTCAAGACGATTTCCGTTAAGCGGAAGAGGCTCTTTCTCTGGTTCCCGTTACGGAAAAGCCAATATCTTGAGAACAATTTTTTAGTTGGATGAATTTTTTTTAAAAAGTATGACATTGTATGTGCACCATTCTGTCAAATTTCGAAGGGTTTCCGATAACCGATAGTGCTACTCTATACTAATTCTGTGTGAAGATTATAAGTTGAACACTATTACAGTTAGTTCGACAAAAGTTTATACACAGCATAAGATCTTATATTTGGATTTTTATTTTTTATTTTTAGTTACCTCCTATAAACGGAAGTGGTACTTTATTTCTGTATTTAAAAATATCGACAATATTTCTAACAGAATTCGGTTGTTGAGCATTATTGATATCCAAACATATGCCTTGAGACATCAACGCTTGAATAGAAATAATACAAGTAATTCAGTTTAGTAATGGTTACAATGAAGCTGTTTAAAGAATTTTTGGCCGTTTGTTTGTGTTACTCAATAGCTCAATTCAATATCATCACAGCAGAAAGGTAAAAAATAAACCGGCGTGATCTCCCCTAAACTTTCTCGAATATTCTTCTATAAAACAACTGGGGATGGGAACTCGGGATATAGATCTAGTTATGATTTTTAATCCATTTAAAATATTTAAACTTTTTAAAATAGAATAGAATATCATAGAAAAAAGAATTGCGCACCAAGCGAACGCCGAATAAAGATGTGTATAATAGTGCGGAATATGTTTAGTACTTTATAAATTCACATGCGTTTTTTGAGAAATAGGAAATAGTGAAAATTATTACTTCCCGTCAACGAAAATTACTCAAAATTTGACAGAAGGCAGAAAATTAGAAATTTCATTTATCTATCGGAAATAGTACTCAAGTTATAGGCTTTTGAAAAATTCAAAATAGAAAAGTTCCACTTCCGGTTATCGGAAATCACTCAAAAGTTGATACGGATCTACGATTTTGATATAATACTTATACATGAAATTTTATCAACCTGGCTGTAATGGTACTCAATTTATCGTGTTTACACACACACACATACACACACACAGACATACGGACAAGATTGCAAAACTATGTTTTTCTGACTCAGGGAGGTGTAAAAAAGATTTGCAAAAATCTCGATTTTTTTTTGCACGATTACAATACTTTCTCTATACTTCGTATATACGAAAAGTAAAAGGTTATAAAATATTCATAATTTAAGTTTACACTAGTTATTTCACTTTTCGTCTATTTAAATGGACAGTCATTTAAAAAGATTTTATAATAATTAAGTAGCAATCATCAACATGAACGTATCGAGCCAATGGTTGTCTAACTTAAGGACTAACAAAAGATCAGCTTTGGTCACACGTTTTTAAAACAAACTTTTCTAGAACAAATTAAACAGAAAATCAGTTTTTATTAAATTAGTAACTTAAGTTACCAGGAAATATGTCGACTACTGACCACGCATATACTTAATAAAATTCTGTTTCAATATAATGGAGACCCTGTACAGAAGTTCTGTATTGTACTTTATTGCATTCAGCTTAAATTGTAACTATAAATAGCTTAACCTACAGTGCCGACTCCAGGTTATTTAGCGCCCTAGGCAAAACGTAGTAAACGCCCACTTTCATACAAATACATTTTTAAAAATATGCATTCGAAAACAATAAATTTAAAGTGATCTATTAATGTAGACAAGTAGACAATAAAATCAAAATATAACTTTTTGTGTCTTCTTTCTCGCCAAAGTTACTACTTATTCTGTCAATTCGAGTGTCGAAACGTAGTCACATTCTATTGAATTAGTTGCAAGTAAGTTTTGATTAATTTCTATGTTTGAAAACCAGCGTTCTGACTAACAGAGAACACTGGTAGTGTTAATAGTATTCTCAAAGAAACAACTGCATTCGGTACACATTCTTTTAATTTATGGTTGTACTATTTAGAAAAGCACATCTGAGGGTGACAAGGGCTATAGAATCTTGAATCGAGCTACTACTTAAATCTCAATTTACAATAATGAGTATCAACACCAATAGAATCAATTTTCTACATCAATGTGTGACAGCAAATAAAAAGGAAAATTTACTACTGAGGGGGAAGGGTGAGGTGGAGGGAGGCGCTTTTTCATCAACATGAATAACTATAGGACTTATTTGGTTAGGTGTCGCGAAATTGCTAGTTCGCTCTGTGCGAAATAGGTCGCTACGCCTTTGTATATTACCCTGCCTATTGTATATATAACATAATCAAAGTAATTACTTAATATATTTTTTGGTAAATGTGATTAAACATTTTTCTGTCCCTCTCCCTATGGATAGCACACTAGGCGAACGCCTAGTTCGCCTTACTGGAAGCGAGACTCTTATTGCTTACTTACAATCTGTTGTATTTTAAATTTAGTTTGTAAGCACAACCCAAACTTACGGTACTGACAAGCAGGACCAAACCATTCCCCTTTACACCTTGACCCATTGATGCAGGTACCGTTGTCTGCACATTTGTTGTTTGTACAGTGGCACTGGAGCTTACAGTCTTGGCCAAACCATCCAACATCACATGCTTTCATAGAGAAAAAATATTAACTTCAAGTGAACTAAAAAAATTAACCTAAATTAATTATACTTCTAATAAAATTATAATAGTATCTGTAAAAATATATAGGCCTCTAGGGGATGAGTGGGTGAAAAGTCACAGGGGCGAAAAGTCACAGCAAGTTTTTGCCTTGAAGAACATACTTTTTATTCCTTCATCAAGAAAATTATGGTTTTAGTCGTTTACCCGGCTTGGAGCTCACTTCCTGTTTTAACTCTCTGAACCGGAACTGAGTTCAGAACCTCATGTAGCCTACTTATTTTCATTGACAAATTCAGAAAATTAAATCAACGGAATCCTGTAAGTATGCTTGCATCTTTTATTATTTGTGTGTTTTTATTCAATGTTTGTTTTCTCAAGCCATAATAATGTCAGTCTGGATTGATTGTTTTTACTTCTGAGAAATTGATTTGAAAGTGTGTATCATTTTTATGACAAACCCTGCTGTCTTTAAAAAATAAGACAACTTGGTACAAAACATGCAAAACATTATTTTCTTTTTTCTTTCTTGAATTTCCAACTGATTAATGCCATTACGTATACAGTGAATAAGATAATAATAGGCAAGTAAAGTAGTAGTATTTTAATAATTTTACTCGTCCAATCATTACATATGAAATCACTGAATTTTTGTGTTTAGATTGTATCTTTGAATTTAGTCAAAGTCGTTTAACTTGCTTTTTTCTTCACAGAATCGTGCCAAAACAATACCAGTGCAAGACAACACGAAAGACATTTACGAAACATGCAATAGAGACGGCAGTTGCAGCACATTTTGAAGAAAAGTCGCTCCGTAAAGCTGCATCCGACTGTGGGTTTAATTATAAGACCCTTCAATGTTATGTTCAGCTGTACAAAACAGACGGCAACATTGAGAAGACAACTTTAAGCTACAGCACGCAGAAGAAACGCATCTTCTCAGATGAGCAAAAACAAGTTTTGCTGGACTACATCATTGAAGCATCTTCAATCTACTATGGCCTAACAATGAGAGAATTACGCTAACTAGCCTACGAAGTTGCTGTTGTCAACAAAATGTACATGCCATAATCCTGGTCCTCTGCGAAAACTGCAGGAGAGGATTGGCATTCAGGACTAGCTATCTCTGCGAAGTTCGAGGGCAACATCACTCAATCGCGTAGTCATTAAAAAAACGACAAATTGTTCTTCGAAAATATGGAGACATAATTTTCGCCCAGAATGTATTTTGGAACATTGACGAAATATTTTTGTCTGAACAAATAAATAACAATGAATTTACAGAGATCATTGAAGATGAAATCGACTATGACTTGGTAGCTCCCCTGTCTGTTTGAGCGGGGCAGATATCAGGACCATCTGTGTTGGAGATTTTATTTTATTTAGGTGCAAGGGCAAAAAGTCGTCTGCCTTCTATACTGGAATAGTAAAGAAACAGATGGAAGAAGAAGGGGACTTTGAAGATGAATGCATTAAAAGAAGTGAAAAGGTGAAAAACAAATTCATAAACTTCGAAACTGACGAAGTATGGTATGTGAATAAAAAAAGACATCATTACTTTGCTGACAAAGTCTGACTTTTCTGGGACAAAACGCACCAAGAGTGGCAATGTGTTCAATGAAGACATCGTGAAATATGCAGCGTAAATATTGTTTAACTGAAAGACATCCTTACATTTCTTTTCAATTTTAGTACAGTCCTGTATTAATATCTTTGGCCACTGTATATATATATATATATATATATATATATATATATATATATATATATATATATATATATATATATATATATATATATATAAATAAATAAATAAATATATATATATATATATAATATATATTATATATATATATATTATATATATAGGCCTATATCATCTAAACATTCATTAATATTCATCATTGTTAAGAGAAATTATTTTCAATAGCAAAAAAAAATTTTTGGGATCAAATAGATTCAATTATATAACATTTTAAACTTTTCACACCGAGCATGTGACTTTTTGACCCCGCACTTGGGTAATATGTCACAATTCTAAATCACAATTTTGCAAGCCTGTCATGAGAATACCGTGAACAGATATTCCAAACTGCTCTTCATATAATTATTTGAAATGTGGAACTAGTATCTGGGGCATTGTCATTGTTAAAGGTTCACAATTATTCTCCTCAGATCCTAAAAAGTGAAATTTGTGACTTTTCACCCCCTCCTCCCCTACATTATTTTCCTTTAGCTTATAGATAATAAACTAAAATTAAAATTTTATAGAAATAATTCAAATTTATGTTTGTGTTTGTGACTAATTGTGTGTGTGATTTGTTTGTAATTGTGTTTGTTTGTTATTTAGGTTGAGGTTGTGGTGAGGGTTAGGGTTAAGGTTAGGGTATATGTTAATGCTAATGCTAATGTCTATACCTATGTTTATGTTTGTGTAAGTGATTGATTTTGTATTGTGTGTTTTATTTTTGTTCATGTTCATGAGAGGGCGTTATTTTTTACGTTCCGCCTTAGTCCCCGGCACGTGTATTTTATTCTTAAAAGGCTAAAGCAACTTGTTTGGGTAGAGAGAGAGAAATAGTTTTATGGAGTGGAAAAGAACGTCTTTAAATGAAGACAAAAGTAATAGTGTTTGACCAACAAACAGTGATAAGTAAAACTTACTTGCAATAACGGAACTCGAACGCAATATTTGCAAACAGTAAATTAGAACATGAATTTCAATTAGCCTCATCATTCTTCCTGGAAAAATAATCGGCACGTAAATGACTAAAATAAAAGGAATAACATAACTACTATTTAAATAGTTGCGATATTATTAGTTTAAATAATTAAAATACATTCGATACGTTTATTTTAGCAAACTTAAATAAACGAGAAGCCATTTGAAATAAATGAAACTTACATTTGAGAAAGTTATGTAAACTAACTTCTTGCTTTCGTGAAATTTCTATAGTGAACCTATCAAGTTTTGAGCACAACTAATGTTCGTGTTCAGTTCTTAATGAGCAATTGATCTATCTTCCCCACCCACCCCTACCTTAAATGATTTTTTTTTCTAAAATAGTAACAAAAAATATGTTTAGAGTTTATTTCCACTTGTTGCTTAAATCGTCATGTCACTTGAACGAACGCTTAACATTATCTCTGTGTAAGAAAAAAACACATCAAATCCGGATACTGTTATTACAGAGATTTGAACTCCATAAGTGTGCCAAAGCTAATTCAGTAATACTAACACATTGTCTGTCAAAAAAAAACTTATAGTTTTTTTAAGAAAAAAGTTTTAATAATTGAAAATATTTTAAAAAAGAATATATATTTTACACCTATCAATTATTACAGAAATACATAACCAAGAGGAAGTAAATTGCTGAAATATGTGTATGGAAAAATTGAAGTTTAATGTAACTGACAATACCTTCTGGCTGTTTATTATACTTCTTTATTTGTTAGCTCTAGTCCTTTAAAGGTTTGCTTTTACCTAATGTTTTTGCAACATACAAAACATCTATAATTTGCGGATCACACTTTATTAAAAAAAGATAAACAATTTGATATTAATACAAAAAGTACAAAGTAAGATCCAAAAGCACAGGTGCGTTATCAAAATATCTTTAAAATACCATTGCTACATTCTGTTGCTCTACAGCTGTACACTACATTTCGTGTTTATTTGCAACGAAATTTTGAACAAGGAAACAAAAGAATTATTATTATGCTATTATGTGTCAAATGTTTGCTATTATATTAATTTATTTTTTAAAAAGTGATAGTTATTTCACACAATTTCAATAATCAAAGATGGTACTAGAGTTGTATTTTAATCTCGCTTGTGGAAGAAGAATGGAGAACTGCCAGACATACACATAACTATATAGAGTCATTTAAAACTCATGATATGCAATATTTTGTAAAGCCATTTTGTGTTTAGCTTTTCATTGAAATAACATGACACTTATACTGGGATATTAATAACAAAAAAAAAAAAGCACAAAATGTATTATCACATTTTATCATATAGTTTCTTTTTGTATGTAGAGATTTTGGGTAAACAATGTAGGTTATGGCTTGAACTCCATCCAGATTTTTCCCCACCCCCACCCCCACCCCACTAGTAGCTTAATGTAGAAATACCATGAATCCAAACCTCGCATAGCTGCGGGGATAGGGGTGCAGTCCGTTCTGATGGCCCATATGGGACCACCATTCAATTTTATTTTTGGGAGGGGGGATTTCTACTTCTACCACTACACACTAGCGTAACCGTGCACATACATTCACACCGGGATCACATGTTGTCCATTTTATAAAAATTTTTAAAGTTGATAATGTCTGTTTGTATGTCGCTATATTTTTGTGTTTGATTGTGGGTTGTGGCTAAATTTCTAACGCAATATTTTAACCCATTTTTAATATTTATTTTCTCGATGAAATTTCTGGTTGTTTAGACCGAAATGTTGCAGTACACTTCGACTGAGTATGTTGTGGAGTCAAAGAGGGAACTTTAGTGGTGACTGTGACTTTTGGAAGGGTTGGGCATTTGTATGAAAATTCTAAAGAAATCTCAGAACTAAGAATGAGCGGGTTATATGAGTTATGTTCAAGACTGCCATTCACTTACTTCAGTAATCTTTTCCGGGTCAGTTTTTTCCCTTCTCTTAATACCCCATGACCTAAGTAATTACGTAGTGTATGCTCTCAAATCCGATTACTCAGTTCACCGGGTTCAGCTTGAGACCAACATATCTCAGCTTGGTAAGGAGGATTGCTCGTTAAACCACATGCGAATTTCTTCTTCTTCTTCGTTCTTAATTTTTAGTGTTGAAAGGGTTTGAACTCGAGACTTTTTCGAATTTATCAACCATGAGCTTTTTTTTGCCGACTCGACCACGCCTCCATCAAAATTAAGTATATGTGTCAACTGGTTATGCGCAATTGAAGCCATTGACTCCGATTTCAGCCTGCTTTTCTTTTTGGATATGCTTCCATAGCCTTTTTACACGTAAATCTAAAGGTAAACCTTTACTTCTTTTTAACATAATATCAAGAACAAACTACAAGGCAGCTGTTGTTTGATTTTGGAGTTGTCTCTCCTAGAAGAGAGGCTGTCCACAGCTAACGAGCCTCATCTGCCCGAGAGTTCGAACTCGAGACTTTTCGGTTTAGCAACCATGAGCTTTACCGACTCGACCACGCCGTCCCCCTACATCCAAATACATCGTCCATCTCATAAAGCAATTAAAACAATCAAATTGTTTAACATTACATTATGAGACATGCAAACAAGTACGTATTTATATAAATATATTTCAGTAAAAGTAAGCTGTGGTATCAGAGAACTGAGCCAAATTTTGATTATAATGGATTTAAAATTTCGGATAACATGGAAACAAATAAAGTCAATGACGTAAAATTAACTAAGTAAAGTTCCCTTTCAAACCTGACAGTCTATATGGCAAGTGAAGTAGAGTTCACTTGTTTCTGTGATCTCGGCATATGAAGAGATAGTATGGTCAACACTATGCCCAGCCGCCTTTACTAGGTACCCATAAGAGTTGAGTGAACTCAGGGACGGTCTACTGACTTGAACCCGGATTCGAAATCGAGACTTACGGGTTAGCATTCCAGCTCTCTACCGCTAGACCACTCCGTCCCATAAGACCATGATGTGAGAGATTGGTAGTTTTAGACAATCCAAAACTAGCTTATGTATGATGGAGTCTTGTCCCTTTCACTCAGCAGGCCAAGGTTTTTTCGGCCAACCAACTGGGGACTTGATTTTTGCCAAGTAAAGGCAATGAGGCCCCTCTGACGACATCTTGAGCAGATTCGAATCCCCACAAACTGACTGATAGTTGCAGAGTGTGTCTCCCTCTGCAACAGGGCTATACATTTGCTTTGTCAGCTTGTCTTCTTCCTTGTTGGTGCGGCAGTACTGCTGTACTCATCCGGTATGAATGGACAAACTATGAACAAGAGAACCTCGTTTCCGTCCATGTGATGGCTGTTAACTAAATATGAGGAATGTGATTTAAGGTTCAAAATAGCACATTCCCTGTACTTAACACCTTAGAGGAGCATAATTAAAATGTTATCATACTGTTCCTGCATTAACTCTGATTTAATTTAGAGGCGTGGGGGTGGGAGGTAAACTCAAGGCTAACTTTTGATCAATTAGCAGGCGTTGAAAATAGGCTTTTTGTCGTTTAATTTTGCCATTGCTTCATCATCGCAAACATAGAGGCACTCCTAATCTTACCAACAGGTCTCTACAAGTCTCCGAAAATGTCTGATGCTCAACTCAGAGTTATGCTGCAGATCATCATTCCCCCTACAGCTCAACTTCCGTTGTTATTGACAACCCAGGTACTTCTAGAGCACATCTTTCCTCTCCTTGGTCGTAAGATATATCCTTGAACATGCTGCGTTACCCTCTCAATAAACCTCTCAAACTGGATGTTTCAAACTTATAACTCATGATGTGTGTATCCCGGGGTAGCACGATGATAATGTTAGTTGTCTGACTCACCAAATTATTTAATCTAACTGACAACGACTGTAAACAGCTGGGTGGCAGTACTAATACGACTTAACTTAGAGTGGTTAACTCGTAAATTTAACGGAGGTTTTTAAACAACAACTAATTATACATTTTAAATGATAACAAATATGGAACATATCAATATCTTTAACAAAAACAAAACTTACACGTTTAAAACTACATCAATAAAAAAATTAAAGCATGCAAAACCTGTAACAAACCATCGAATCAGGTTACCTATTCTAAAACAATAGCAGCAGATATGTAAATATATTTTTAAAAATACATTAAAAGACTAGGCTCAGAATAAAATAACGAAATGAAGTGAGATAAAAAATAAATACGGTATAGTACAATAAACTAATACTGTAGAGTTTGTATAGAGCACACAATTCACTATCTTTTCGCACAAAGCAGACTTGCTAATAAAATACTTAACCATAAACTGGTCGAACATGATCACCTAACAGCCTATTCACTTTCACGGAATAAATATAATCATAACTAATGATGTAACCAAAATATAGCAGTGATATCCACGCGGCACATTATAACTAACTAATCAACTAATCAACTAATCTTGCGACTCACAAATAACACAATTGAAACAAAATAAATAATATTTAAACACTAAGTGCCTTACTGAGTACTACAAATTCTTTAAACATTGATTAATGAAAATAAAAAATGTCTACTGCATTAAAATAATTAAATAGCAAAACAATTTTCAGTGGGGGAAGCAACATCTTCCACGTTTCACCCCCTTGCAAAACAATACTCAACATAAAAAAAAATAGTTTCAATAGATAAACATTCATTAAACATCGCCTAATAAAGTTTAAACTAAAAAAAAATGATGCACCAGACATTACATCACAACTTTAAAAAGTGAAGGCCTAGTCATATTACTTCACTACTTTGAAAATTATCAATTACTTCTAAACACCAGAAAATAAAAGATCCATTTGCGTTAGAGACATTAATATAAATGAACCGCCACTTATGTTAGTAATTAAATATCTTATTAGGAATTAAACCATCTTTAAGGCATCTACAGTTGTCACACAAATTGTGGAGCTGTATACGGATTTTGTTCATTAATATTCATAACATCCTCCAACGTATTATATATTTTTTCACTCGCTGTAACTATGTTTGGTGGATTTTCTAGGACAGACGTTCCTTCTGTAGCTGATTGATTTAACGCCGGATAATTTAAATATGAACCCTGGGCTTCAACAATGACGTCATAAGGATTTTCACTTCTCCTATACGTTGTAAGGGAAACAGTGGCCGTAACATGTGGGGCTTCTTGTTGAAGTCCTCTGGTTGCTGGTTGTGGGGACATGTCTGAGCTTGTATTGGCTTGTAACAAATTAACTCTCTCACGTGACATCAGATAACCGTCTCCGTCAGTAGGAAAACTTGGCATTTGTATGTCATTTGATGTCTCTATAGTTTCTGAGTCTTTTGGTTTTGATGACTTTGTACATGCAAACCAAACCGTTGCTGTTTTAAAAATAAAAAGAAATAGAGTGTTACTTTAAAGTGGTAATAAAAATGGATTCATGATTAAGGAACATTTTTTTAAAAAGAAGTAAATGCTCACCGTTGTATTTACGTCTAACAATTATTATTACTGAAATGCATCCACCTATAGCTACCAGACCTGCTGCCAAACCGACCCATTTGTTATAACTGCTAAAATTGTAATTGTCCTTTCCTTTATCAACTGTAATTGCATGTAGAGAATTATAAAAAAAATGTATTATAGTTACCTGGTTTAACTTATATGATTTTGTATTACACATATTGCAATAAAATAAAACAATCCAAGGAATGATTTTCGTAAATATTTAACCTTTAATTTAAAAAAAAATAGTTGATTCAAAATAGTTGGCTTTCATTTTTTTCTTATGTTAGTCAGGACAATAACTACTAATGATAGAATTGCCATCAATCGTGTTTACGACTGTTATCGTATTTAAGTTTAGAATCCAACATGGATAAAGGACGCAGTCGATTTTGCATTGCATTATCTATAAAGTTTACCCATTTTGAATCTAAAATTCAGGTAAATTGCACACGTGATGCCATTGATTTTTAGTTATTTATCATTTTAGGCTAGTTCATTTGGCGATTGTAATATTAGGCTATTGATACCAGTTTGAACTGGTATGAGACATGTTATATATATATATATATATATATATATATATATATATATATATATATATATATATATATAAATATTGTGAGCCAACCTATGTATATAATGAAACTGTTTAGACAAACAAATGAAAATAATAAAATATTTAGAGATTCAAGACCAGTCCGAAGAAATAACGTATACTATAGCAAGCGTTACATTTTCTTTTCTAATTTTATATAAAATCAAAAAGCAATCGTGACATTTTCAATCAACTCAAAGGTATTAAGCAGATAATTCCTTATTATAACATGAAACCTCGGCTATTCTTGTGGAAAAACCATGACTATAGGGTTGGGTTATGGTTCACCACAAGGCAACACTATATATGCTATTCTCGAAAATTTCACAAAATGGTTTTTCTTCTATCGTTTTGTTTAAAGCAATACTAAACATATATTCTCATGTAATAGCCACACAGTTCTTTAATAATTTGTAAGCATGTGCTAACATTTTAATAGAAATTGTCAATACATTTATATTACCTTCAGTACAGAGAGGAGGTTTAAACCCTGCCATACAACCTCCATAACACATGCCATTCATGTGGTTACAACTGTCATTATTAAAGCAGTTCACACTACAGGAGTTTTGGCAGTCCAAACCCCACGTACCTGCACTACACTCTAAAATATACACTTTTCTAAAAAAACAAACTTACTTTAATTCATTAATAGTGTTAATCTGAACACAACAAAAAATAGTCAAATGTTTGACGTTTAAAGAAAAAAAATGAAATCAAAGTTAATAATTGAAAAACGAGATTTATCATGAAATATACTTTAGTGATTTTTTCGTGTGTCTAAAATACAACAAACAATAGCCCTTTTAATTATAATAATAATTGTTGAGTCTAAAACAAATTAATTTTCTCTCACCAGTCTGACATCCTTCAAATGTGTAGCCTGGAGTACAGCCAGATGGACAGGTACCAGTGTCCACGTGACATTGTTCATTGTTGACACAGTTACATTCTTTAGTACAGTCTAGGCCGTATTTGTTCTTTGGGCATATGTTGACTGGAGAAAAATATCCCAAAATTAAAATTGTGTAAAAAGCAAAACACCCCTTGTATTTTAATTTAAGTTTGATACATTTTCGAAAACATATTTGTTTTACAATATAATAATGTTTTCATAAATTCATTGTTTAATACCGATCTATATGACTTTTGTACGAAATTTTATTAAGCAAACCTAACATAAGTTAAAAAGATATAACTATGTTGCATACCTCCATACACCTCAGCTTCACAAAAATTTAAATAGTCGACATGCAATGTGACGTTGACACGAGCAACATCACGTGATCCTGATACAACAGTGTGGATTAGTGCATGTGTCTCAGCAGGAGCCGTGTATGTGAACACTTGGTCACCTTTGTTGTCCCAACTTGTTAGTGTAAACCCACTGATTCTTTTTAGGCAGCAAGTGGGGGTTGCTAAAAAAGTAAAAAACAATATAAATTTAAATTCTGAGACGTTTTAAAAGTAATATATTTATACAAAGAAATTTAATTAAAAGTTAACTGTGGCATCATGTAGCTGCTCCCGATTTTCTGATATAGAGCGACGAGTGCAGGTTTTGGCGATTGTAATCACTATATATCCCATATCTTGCTTGCGTCTCAGTTATAGGACGCTAGAAAAAAAATTGCTAAAATGTATAGAAAACTAATTAAAACACAAACTGTGTTTCATTGTATTTTGAAGTGGTTAGAGAATTGTATTTGTGTGTGTTTTGTTTGAAATTTTAATTTTCTAGAAAGATACAGCGACACTTGTCAAAAAGGCGTAAAAAGAAAACATGCGAACTGGAAATTAAATATTAACATTATAAGTGCAAAATACAGTTTAAACTAAATAAAAGTATGAGTAACTTTTTTTTATCAAATGTACTACAAATATCACAATATATATATATATATATATATATATATATATATATATATATATATATATATATTGTATTAGAAAATTATAATGTTTAGAAAGTAACATATGTTCAATTTAAATAGTTTCCGATTATTACAAATACCACAGTAGTTGTAGCCTACTTTTCTAAGTATTATAATTTATATTTTGAGAGCCATTTTTCAATTGTATTATTTGATTCTGTCTTTTAAACGAGTGTGTATGTCTAGTTTCAGATTGTTATACCACTATGTCATTTACCAACAATTTATTAATGTATAATGTCTTAATGTTTTATTAAGCCTGTATTGTGAACCACTTTGACTTAATTTAACGCATGTTGAGCTTTTTATGAACAAAATGTGTGTATATTGTGTCGCCTGGTTACGACATGTTAGCGGCTCTCTATTCTCTAATTACCTCCTTATTCTGCCACCACAGAGTGCACGAACAAATGTACATGTCTTTTGTCTTACCATTAAGGTGAATTGGACCTGTTGACAACACTTAATCTCAACCACGGCACGGTTGTCCGATCATTAACTTCAAAATTTCTTTCCTTATAGATTGTGTGCGGCATTCCTCTCGTGACTGATGTTTACCAACAATGTATCGGCCAGTTCAAAAGTAGCCTATTTTTACCAACATATAATTCGTAAGAAAAGTAAAAGAGAACGGTGATATAGAACTTCTATAAGATTTCTTCTATGGAATAAAATGTAACATTCCTTATATACATCGGGCCGCACCGAACAAGATAGTTTGTGTGATCTAAACACACAAAAGATTAGTTTTCAAATGATTCTATGGAATTGTGTTCAAAAAGGTAATACTCACAAGACGGTTCCCATCGACTGTACAAAACATATCTGTTGACACTGTATACATGGCCACTAAAATTAACCGCCCAGTAATGCGGCTGATTTCCAGTCTTTTCCATGGTGTGGATACAGGAACCGTTCAGCCAGCTACTATTTCTGTTGCCATCTACTGCATTAGTCGCGTTCGAATTTACGTTATAGAGAGTATACGTACTGTCTTGACTTGCAGGTTGTTTGATAGCAATATTTCTTCCTATAATTTATTTTATGATTCATATTTGATAATTTATTATGGCAGAAACGACTTCATGTACACGATTAACAAATGAAATGATGTCATGCTAAAACGTTCAAGTTACCTCCACTGACGTAAATAGAGCAGACATTCTTTACATTTTCCCCTGACAAAACTAGACGTGTCATATTTACTGTTGTCCGACATCTGAACTCAACCGTGTCCTGACTGATAGCTGATTGGTTAATCATGTCACACGTAGAGTTGCCTTCAGTGATGTTGATGTTTAAGATTAGCATCAGATCATTTGCTAAAACAAAATTTACACCTATTTCGAAAACTGCAGTTTCGCTTGAAGGTTCATACAATTTTTGATACATAAAGAACAAAATTTAATGTGTGTTATAATACTATAAATTAATTGGAACATTTTGATGAAAAATTTTCAGCGGCAGAGCACTGTCTGTATAAAAACAAATGAAACAGAAAAGCCTTTAGCATTCTTAAGTTAGAGCACATTTTATACAATATAATGTGAATACATATTTCAACTGCATCCCTCTCAATGCTTTAATTATATGATATAAGGCTCATGGAACAAATCCCGAAGTTTCCCACCAACAAATACACTGCAAAACATTTTTAAAACAGTTTTCTTTTTTAACAATTGGTACTAGTGTAACGGCTTGACTAATCAGTAAATCTATAAACATACAATTACACATATCTTTGGGATATTAAACTAAATACCAGCCAACAGAAAAGTTGATTATTTTAAAAAAATCTAAAATGGGTTTTAACTGCAAACCTTTCCAATATAACATTCTAATGAAACACAATTCATTGCTATAGTTTACAACACAAAGTTTGTCATTATGATTATCACCTCATTTGTCTGGTTTAAACAATCATGCTTTATCATTCTGGATTAATGCATTTGCCTAAAAAATATTTGACAAACTGGTTTCCCTTCCAACTTAAGAAGTTTTCGATTTTGATTTCTGACGTCGTAACACTAGTTCAATACTTACTGTCCTGATTGAATTGTACCCACATGAAGGTAAAAGGATAGGAAATGTTCCAGGAGAATTCAATTCTTTGATTAGCCCCTGAAGCATTACATAATTGGCCTTCACGAGATGATTGAACTGTATAAATCTTCGCTAAGTTTTCTGAAATATAAGTATTTTTAACTATACAAAAAAAAACTTTCTTTACAATAAATCATTACATTTTACAATTTTGTTACGTGTCCTGGATGTCTATTAATAAACGGTATGAAATTAGGCTCTGTCATAGACCGAACGATCAGGTATGTAGGACGAAAATTTCTTCTTTTACAGTCACCTTAAGAGGCTAGACAACAGCTGATCACGTCTTATATAAGCCAATAAATAAAAAGTCTTTTCCTAGGACATTTTGTGGATTACTAGATGACACACCCGAGGCTGACAACAAATAAACCGGGAACGATCTGTCTTAAACTATAATATATATATATATATATATATATATATATATATATATATATATATATATATATAGCGAAAACCAGGACATAAGCACATATTAATTTGTTGTATATAAATAAGAGCTGTAAATAAAATCCTCATTGTCTTTGTGTGTCGTCTAACAAAAAGTTTATCTATCTACTATTGATAAGTCAGGAAAGTATTGAAAGCATAATAAATTCCACTTTCGATTATCGGAAATGACTAAAAATTTGATACAGAACTATAAATTTGATATAATACTAATATATGAAGTTTCATCAACCTAGCTCAGGGGTAGGCAACCTGCGGCTCGCGAGCCGCATGCGGCTCTTTTGATGTCAACGTGCGGCTCTCGAGTTCCATGCACATTGATTAATAATTGTATTATTTCATTTTCAAAACTCATAAAAATATTATACTGTAAAGAAAAATCACTTTAAACAGGATTGTTATTTTAGTTATTAGTATTCTACGGTGGAGCCAGGTACTGGACTGTGGGGAAGATAAGCACTGTGAGAACCGAAAGACAGGAGCGATCAATTCAGTTATCAAACCTATATCTAAGCCAGTTAGTCAGAGTTGAGGGCTGCTAGGCTATGTGAGACACCTCCTTAGCCAATGGTGTCCGTAAAGAAGAAAAAACTAAGTTATTGGCTTCTAATGTGGATTGGGATTGTCCTATAGTTATATTATTTGATAACTAACTTAATCATAGCAGAGCTAGCTGAAACACTTTTTGCGTGAAACATGTTTTTCTATCAATCAATATTAGTTCATATTTAACGGTATTTATTTCAAATAAACAATTACATTTATTTACCTAATTCTATTCAAATACCAAAATATTGGAAAAATAATGTTAGTGGCTGTTTAAAAACTGGGAAATTTTGAAAATTGTAACTTTTGGCTCTTTTGTCTCAAAAGGTTGCCGACCCCTGACCTAGCTTTATTAGTATTCAGTTTATCTTGTTCACAGACAGACACACAGACACACACGCACACACACTGACATACAGACAAAATTGCAAAACTAATTTTTTCCGACTCAGGGAGATTTAAAATGTCGTGATTTGTGAAAATCTTTAGTAAATCTATGTCTATATATAGTAATGTTTTTACTAGAATTTAATGCCGTTTGTTCGTGTTACTCCATTCCTTAAGTCTATATCATAACACAAGTGACAAAACGTTATAAAATATTCATAATGTAAGCTTACACTAGTTGTTTAGTTTTAAAGAAGGATGTATTTAAAATGTAATGGCAATTCACAAGATGAAAAACTTGAGCTTGTGGTTTCTAAAACAAGACTTTCTAAAACTTATTCAACATATATAAGGTTATAATAAATTAATAGGAAATAATGTGGCTACTGAACTAGCATTTGCTTAATTAAGTTCTATATTTTTAAATTTTTCATTTTCATTTCCAATATAGTGAAGGCCGAGTAAAGAACTTCTTTATTGTACTATATTAGATTCAGCTTAAAGTTTAACTATAGATAGCAAAAACAACTTACGGTACTGACAAGCAGGACCAAACCATTCACCGTCACACCTTGACCCATTGATGCAGGTACCGTCGTCTGTACATGTGTTGTTTGTACAGTGGCACTGGAGCTTACAGTCTTGGCCAAACCATCCAACCTCACATGCTTTGATAATAAAAATATCAATATTTAACTTTATATATATATATATATATATATATATATATATATATATATATATATATATATATATATATATATATATATTAATATATATATATATATATATATATATATATATATATATATATATATATATATATATATATATATATATATATATATATACCATTGACTACATACATATATAGTCCATTGATTACATACATATATAGGCCATTGTATTTATATTTATATATATATATATATATATATATATATATATATATATATATATATATATATATATATATATACACTATGGAATATATATGTATATAGCGTACCTGTGGAAGCCATGAGTATCGTCGAAACTCGACTTGTCAACTTTATGTAATATTTAGAGTTCATTTTTGTACTTAACACTAGAAAACTCAATATTAAATTTTCAATAAAGTCTAATAATTTTATTAACGTAAAGTTAACAGAAGGGGACGGCGTGGCCTAGCGGTAGAGATCTAGACTGCTACCTCGAGAGTCTCGAGTTCGAATCCTGTTTCAAATCTTTGTAACGTCCCTAAGTTGTTATGGAAACAAAGGCGTTGACCACGCTTATCCTTGATATGCCGAAGTCTCTTAAGCAGATGAACTCTATTACATCTGCCCTCTGTGTCTTGGGCACAAACAAAATTATTTATGCCTATACTAAAATCATAATAGCATTAGAAAATTCATATATTTTTCTGGGCTTTATTTTAAGTTCAGCCTTGTTTTCGCGCCCGTGTATTTTATTCCTAAAGTTTTAAAACAAAAAGTTGGGGTCGAGAGAGGTTAATAACTTCGTAAATTTAAATATGGGATGACTAAATTATTAGTTTTTTACAAACAGTGAAAATTAAAACTTACTAGCATCAACAGAACACGAACTCAAAATTTGCAAACAGAAAATTAGGATAGGAAGTTTAATTTGCTTGATCATTGTCACCTGAAAAACAACGTAAATCTGCCCCTGTATGACTAAAATAAACAGTAGATCCTTTTACTTATCCTGTATTTTATGTTAATAATTCTAAAAATTATTAATTAATATTTAAATAGTTGCGATAATATTAGTTTCCATAATTAAAATGAATTTGATAAGTTTAACTTAGCAAACTTAATTAAAACTAGAAGCCATATGAAATAAATTAAACTTACATTTAATAAAGTTATATAAACGTATTTTTCTTAATAGGTAAAATTAATTTACACTCAAACTTTTTGCTTCGTGAAATCTTTTTATTGAACTTATCAAGTTGTAAGCACAACACATTTTTGGTTTGAGTAGTCATGAGCAATTAGTCAGCATCTATCTATCTTCCCCCCCCCCCCCCCACATTAAAGGGATTTTTTTCTTAAACAGTAACAAAGTAATGTTTTAAAGTGAATGTCCACATGTTGCTTAAATCATCCAGTCACTTGAAAGAATGCTTAACATTATCTCTGGGCAAGAAAAAACACATCAAATCCGGATACTTGTAAAGACAGGGATTTGAACTCCATAAGTATGCCTAAGCTACTTAAGTATTACTAACACATCATCTGTCTAAAAAGAAAATTTTAAATATCTGGTTAAACGCAGTAAAATATATTTTAAGTTGGACATAACTTAAAACATAAGATAAAAACACGATTTTAAATTACATAGATTTTGTTTAGAAAATTAGAAAAAAAAACAACTTTTAGTAATTGGAAACATTAAAAAGAAAACAAAAATGTAAATTTTCTACTCATCAATATCCCCAGAAATACCTAAACAAGAGGAAGTAAATAGCTGATGTATTATTATGAAAACATTGAAGTGTAACATAATTGACAATACCTTATGGCTGGATATTAGACTTGTTTTCTTTTAGCTTCACTCTTTGAAAGTTTTGCTCTTATATAATGTTTTAGCAACACAGAAAACATCTATAATTTGCCGGATCACTCATTATTAGTAAAAGATAAACACATTGACACTAACACAAAATTTTCAAAATAAGATCCAAAAGCACATACTCGTTATTAAAACTGCCATAACATTATTATTACTACGTTATGTTTTTTCTTTCATCTTAAGACTACCTTTTGTGTTTAAGAAAAGATTTATTAATAACAAATCATTGTATAAAATTATATGATTTATATTAAACAAACGATTTTTTTCTTTTTTAGTTACACACACGTAAAAGATCATAAACAAAGTAATGAGCGGAACTTTACATGATTTGATAAAATTGATCTGTGTATTATACCATCATAGCAGCATACTTATTATTCATAATATAATTCTTTAAATAAGGAATTTACTCAAACGATTAAAACTAAAATAAATCGTGGACAAATTGTTAGACTGTTTGATTTCCTCTTTTTTCTTGACGCCCTGCTAACACGAGTTACGCCGCCTGAAATTCCAGGAAGTAAAATCTTATATAAGGACTGCGTGTAAGAGTGTACGAACCTGTAAGATTATTAAAACTCACGAGATGGATCAGCACCAGCCTGCTTCGATTTAAAATAATGATAGCTGTCCAATATGTTTATTTTGTCACTTGAAATGTTTAATGCGTTACTTAAGCACTAGGCTATAGCTTTGATGATATAAATGTTATGTGTTTCAATTTGGTTCCAACAGTATTATCAATGATCTCATTCGAGAATACAAGCGATAAATAGACTAAAGCCATTTGTTAGGTCGGTTAGGTGTGTCGGAGAAACTAGACTTTAGGTTATAATATCTAGGATATAAAAACACAAATAATTGAGTTGTAATCCATTATTAGCTTTCGGCTATAGCTATAACGATGTAACTGTTTGTTGTTTCTATTAGGTAGCATTGTAATAGGCTGAATTAGGATCTAATTTAATTCACAAGATTTTACTATATGTTTACGGAAAGTATGCTAAATAGTAGAAAATATTATCATAAATTGATATGAGAGTTCCAAGCCAAGACGATAGCGCATCAGCTAATCAGTCAGGTGACACATGGGTGCGGAACCTGAGCATTCATTGTCATTTTTGTTTGGTTTTAATGTTCCTACCCAGAAAATGGACAGACGGAAAGTTCAAAGCACGCGAATGGCTCTATGTCAGTGCTATATTTTTTTTGACGTTTGGTTTAATAATGAATATAATATGTATTATTCATATGAAGTTCACATCCTCCTAATTATTATGCCTGATTCCGATTAAATGAATCAGGGGTTTTGATTTGAAAGTTTGTTTCCCTAAATAAAAAAACACAAATGGGGTGCGTAGCGCGGGTATTCTGCTAGGAGTTAATACCCTTGTGCATTACGCAATATTGTATTGATATCTAAGCTCTGTATGTCTGTTTATATAAATTCCACTCAATACCACGCTAGTAATTAACTATTCCATTATTTGTTGTACAATCTTAACATCATCAGTTGTAGTCCTATATTTCTTTTCTAGACATAACGATGGAAATGGAAGATGAAATGTGAACCTATGATGAACAGTAGACGGCGCTGAATTTATGATGTAAATAACACACATAATACTAGCTTTGCCACACCAAGCATACTACACGAAATGTACCACCACACAAAGTATTCCACACGACGTATGTATTACACACGAATTACACCACTGAAAATATTTAGCAACAAACATACAATAGAAATTATACCACAAAACTATACAGCAACAAGCTTACCAAACAAAGTTTACCACAGCATGTATATCAAGCCTAATACACCACACAACATATACTACACTATACCACACTATGTATAACTCACAAAGTATACCGCACCAAGTATACCACAAAAAGTATACTATATAAAAAATGTACACCACCAAGCATACAAAACTACGTACAACACATCAAGTATACCACACCAAGTATACCGCACCAAGTATACCACAACAAGTATACTAAACAAAATTTACACAACCAAGCACACCACCCAAAAATATATACTTTTAACAGTGTCCGCCTCCCTCACCCGCACCCCCCCCCCCCCCCGGAGAAAAAAGTCTGGAAGAAGCACTGAGTATACCGCAGAAAGTATACCACAACTAGTATACTACAACACAATTACCAGGCATGTAATTGCTATGTTATGTATTAATTAAGCACACTGGCAAGGGACCAAAACTCAATAATAACCCAAACATTCTTAAGTATTTAAAGTTGTTATCTCCCGATCGTAAACTTAGCCTACGAAAACCCCGCTAGTTGAAGTGTAAGCCTACACAGTGATTCATCCGTGTCTTTACTTAACGTGTCCTCAGTGTGTTCAGCACGCAATAGATAGCGACAGCCGACTTTCTGTGTATCGATTCCCCGTGTAGAGTATGTGTGTGGCGATGTCATTACATAGTGAATTGTAGCGAGCTTTACTAGTGTGTACTTAGCAGTCAGGATTTCATTAACAGGGATTTATTCGTTCACGTTAATCTTCTAAATGTGTTGTGATAGAACACATTGACAGCACTGATACTTTAAATTAAGGTAACAAACGCTCTATCAAAATATCATCTCTGATTTTTATCTGCTTATCTATAAATCAATGTGAATACACTTTAGAACATTGGATTTTTGAAAGTCTATTTATAGTTATCATAAAAAAAAAGTCCTACGTGAATATCAACATGTTTTAATTTAGACCTTCTACATAGCATACACTTTTCCTAAATTTAAAATCGGAATTTCCATAAACACATTTATTTTTCTGTGTGGGGGTCGTCCACATGACGTTACACTCCTAGGTAGTGGAAGGGGGAGGGGGCGGAGTTTGTGACGAACTTGAGGAGGGGAGGTTCAGAAAATGTTACAAAACACCTTTACAGTATATAAATTAATGTTGAAAAAAAAGAGTTTTAGCCATTTGTGTTTTGCTCTTTTAAAAGATTTGGAATAAAATACCTTAATGTTTACCGAACGGAGTAAATATTTTAGAAAGAAAAAGCTCTTAAGAAATATTGTTGTTTTGAATGGGTAATGGGCTGGGTGTCATCATTTTAGTGGCAGTGGAGGGGGTTGGGGAAGGGGGAGGGTGGGGGGGGGGGTTCGATCTGACTTTTTACAACAAGGGGAGGAGGTAGGTAAACATAGTTTTTAAAAACGTGACATTTGTTTACTTGTGGCCCTTTATTGTAGTCGTAAATAAAACAAATACAAACGGGTATACCCGATCAGGCTCCTGTGGTTTTTAGGGAACTTCCTTTTATTATTATTTCGTTTTCTTCATGATAAAACACACAGTGAGATAATATTAAAACGGATCACCTGATTATAAAGGCTACTTCAGTGTAGTACATACGTTTTAGATCTAAAGTAAGTATAAATCAATTTTAAATGTATTTTTAAAACATTTTTAGACAATATTTAAAAATGTGTATTTGTATCTTTTAACAGAATGAACAGACAGAAAGATTCTGGTGCCTCTAAGATTGAAGCACTGCGGGTGTGGTGTAAGAAGATGACAGAGGGATACGAACACGTCAACATCGTCAACTTCACGACATCATGGAGGAACGGCATGGCGTTCTGTGCTCTCATTCATAGGGTCAACCCCAACTTGATGTAAGATGTGTCTGGTTTTTATTTAAGCATAAACCCCAACTTGATGTAAGATGGGTCTGGTTTTTATTTAAGCTTCTATATGTAGATTTAAATAGTTCACATAAACAAGATCAACCCCAACTTGATGTCAGATGTGTCATGTCTTTATTTAAGCTTATATATGTAAATTAAAATAGTTCACATAAACAAGATCAACCCCAACTTGATGTAAGATGTGACTCGTTTTTATTTAAGCATAAACCCCAACTTGATGTAAAATGAGTCTCGTCTTTTTTTAACCTTATATATGTAGATTTAAATAGTTCACATAAACAAGATCAACCCCAACTTGATGTAAGATGTGTCATGTCTTTATTTAAGCTTATATATGTAAATTAAAATAGTTCACATAAACAAGATCAACCCCAACTTGATGTAAGATGTGTCATGTCTTTATTTAAGCATAAACCACAACTTGATGTAAGACCAGAGTTTCCTCCATGCATCTCTTCCGCACCCCCCCCCCCCCCCACCCCCAGAAGAACGGCTACCACTCCCACCCCGAACAATATATAATTTACTTAAAAAATATTTAGTTTTACAAGTGTTCCCCCCCCCCCCGTATAAAATGTTGCCCACACTCCATTGGAGAAAAAAGTCGGAAAGAAACACTGTGTAAGATGTATAAACGTAGATTTAAATATTTCACATATACATGATCAATCCCAGCTTGATGTTTTATAATCTAATTAATTAGTATTTAAGATTTTAAGCGGATATATAAATGATGTTACACATACATAGCCACCATTCGTTACACTCCCATCTACACATGCATGTTGTGACAGGCTGACTGTTTGTGTTGCCTGTAATTAGCTGTCGATGTAGGCTAATTATTGTCAATGTATGCTAATTAACGGTCGGTGTTATTAGTTTAGCGAATGTAATTTTTTGTTTCACCAGAGACTACGACTCGCTGGATCCTGATGATGTACTTGGAACCTGCCAACTGGTAAACTCGACATTTTTAGACTTGAGTTCTATTGCTTTTAATGAATACTAAACATTACTTAAAGCGAACTACATATCAACATTCACAGACACGTGTAATTAAGTTAAAACTGTTGCCATTTTCTACACACTAAAATGACCTACATAAACTAATATTGTCATAATACTATGTATAGATGCCCTAATTAGGATAAATGATTAGCCTGTATATTATATTTAACACTTAGAGTTGAACCATTTAATAACTTGGTAACGTCGGTAATAAAAGTTACGAATTCATTAAATGGTTCCATTAGACAATATTCCAATATTTAGGCTAAATACTTCTTCCATTTACAACATTTACAGCTGAACCATTAGTTATAAGACTTATTAACCCATCATTTATGTGTAGAGATATAATTTTAGTAGGTTAAGCACGAAGTTAACCATTAGACATCACGATAAACTCCCCTTGTTAATTGTGATAGGCCTTCGAGGTAGCAGAGCGAGAGCTAAAGATTCCAGCGTTCCTGGAGGCCGAGGACATGGAGAGGCTGAAAGTGCCAGACAAGCTGAGTGTCATCACCTACCTGTTTCAGTACTACGCCAAGATTCACAAACTGCCGCTACGTAAGTTGCAGATCGAACGTTAACACGGTATATTATGTTGAACAATGGCAAAGTTGGAGGTTGAAGCTGTTCAAAGTGCTTACTGTAACGCTTTTCATGCCTATTGATTGTTCAAAATTATGTGTGTACATTATGTAAACTATCATTAAGCACCACTTAAACCATTTCAAGAACACCACAAGTATACAGCACCAAGTATACTGCTCCAAATATACCACTTCAATTACACCACACCATATACATCTCACTAAGTATACCACATCAATTTCACCACACCAAGTTTGCCAAAAAGACTAACCACACAATTTGTATCATACAAAGTATACTACAGTTTATCCTGGTCTAAATTGTTTTACAACACTAGAAAACAAATCCAAGTTACCAAACCTAATTTAACAACTTACAGTTATAACTAAATGTAAGGATAATTGAAAGTGATCATTCTTAAAAGGCAGTTAGTGTTTTACATATCGATTAGCTTACATACAAAAAAAACTGTAGTAAACCTATAGATAATTTGTTGAATTCATGTAGAGGGCGGTCCAGGGGTCAAGGGCACAAAGTCACGTCCAGCTGCTGGAGTTAAGCGACCATTAGAACAGAACTCAGCACTGGCACCAGCTGTCAAGAAAACATCAACAGAGGTCAAGGAAAATGTTCCAGCTGAAAAGGTAATTATTTCATCTCTGTTTAATCTATTAAACATATTAACGCTTTCTGTATCATTTTTAATCAGTTGCAATCAGTGTACACATCCTTTGTATAGCACCCACTTTACTTGCACTTTATCTCAGACTACAAGACACTTGCCTGACGCCCAGAACGAGAACTGCTGTGTGTGTCACACTAAAGTCTACCTGCTAGAGCGCCATCTGGAGGGTGGGAGACTGTACCACAGATCGTGCAGACGTAGCCAGAAACTGTCTCCCGTCGTCGGACGTACCCAGAAAGTCTCGCCAAGCACCGGAAGTGACAAGAAATTACCGGAAGTCGCCAAACGCGAGCCGGAAAATAATTCTTTGTTTCGTTTACAAGATAAAACAAAATCTGATTCCCCTTTTGCTACAACAAATGTCCAAAGCACTTTTCTACAGAACAAATCCAAATTAGCACAGCCAAGCACCTTTACACAGAACAAATCCAACTTAGCACAGCCAAGCCCAGTTTTGCTGAGCACATCTAATTCTATACAACCTTTGTTCTCTAATGTAAATAAACCCAACTCGGCATACACGTCACCAAAAGACACTCCAGTACAACACACGTTTAGAACACCAGTTCAAGAAGCGAAAGGACTAACCAGCAAAAGTTCTTCGAACGATCCACTTTCGTTTGAAAATAAATCGCTTGGTCCTCACGCAGTAGGGTCATCACTTACCGCCAGCACATTTCCAAAAAAAGTGCCAGCAGACGAACAAAGCAACCAGAAGTCGGCAGCAGCTTCAAGAATCGCCGCTCTGCTAAACTCTAAATCAGACTTTAAATCAGCCACTGGTGTAGGCGTGGTAGGCACAGCATCGCCAGTTTTTAAACCTAAAGCAGCGACAGCAGCAGTTCCAAGCCCGACAGCTAGTACCCTGTGGGGTGTGAAACCTACAGGTTCTCAATCAGCGGTGTCAAAACCTGATATTTTCACATCGGTAGTTTTGAAACCTACAGGTTCAACATCAGAAGGCTTTAAACCTACCAATGTTACATCAGTAGATTTAAAACCTACAGGGTTTAGTCCAGGGGGCTTAAAACATGTCAATGTTACATCAGTGGGCTTAAAACCTATAGGTTCTCCATCAGGAGGCTTAAAACCTGCACCTGTTCCATCAACTGTAAAAACTCCTGCCAACAAGGAAAGCTCCAATATAAACGATTTGAAAAACAAATACCTACAAAACGCTCAATCAACATGGAACCCACCTGCAGCTTCTGGTTTACCATCCACCCCTACACCACCACACGCAACAGCCAACAAACCAGAAACCAAATTCACAATAACAAAATCTAGCGCCGATGCCAGGTCTAAATTCTTCCAACCTACAGCGCCAGTGAACACAAAACTACCAACTGCTTCTAAGTTCCCACAGCAGTCGTCGCAACATTCTGAAGCTTTGTTGACACTGAATTCACTCCGACACGTAACACCAGTCAAGCATGAAGACAGAACATCAGACAACCAGTCACCTGATTCTCCTTACAACTTAGCGACAATCATGTTTGACAGGGAACAGGTACGTAAACGATTCAAATATTCATGTAGGCCTACAAGCTATGCTATCTTGACAATAGTTGTTTCTTAGCGCAATTTCCATACTGACAATTGCGATTATTAATTCATTATTTCTGGATAGATGGATGGATGTGTGTCCGCATCTTTAAGTCGTATCTCCTCCTCAACGAAGCAATATCGAGGACTAGTTCCAAAAGCTAATATGTTAAGCAAGTTCCGAGGATGATTGTGGGCCAAAAAAATTCCCGGAATTCCTTCCTGGATTTCCCGGAAAAGCCAAAAAACCTCGAAAAATGCAGTTTTGGCCCATATCTCGGCAACCAGACCACTTAGCGACTTGAAACATTTACCAATCGATTCCTGCCATAATTTAAAACAATATTGCCGAAGAAAGTTTTCAAAAATATTCTTTCGTTCGGTCACAAAAAATAATTAAGGAAATTGTGCTTAAATTATCACTAGACTTTTTATTAATTTGTTTAAACATTGGCTTCATTTTATTTGTCCGTATGTTTGTTATTACGAAACTTTAGCCACTGACCAGTACAGACCTAAAGAAGAAACTTGACGACAATGGCAAGAAGTTTCAGACGTTAGAGCAAAGGGGAAGAACCCTAGAAAACGAAATCCGAAAAGGTAATTATCTAATTGGTTTCTAAGTATGCTCAACTTAAACTTCTGTGTTCAAAGATGATCCGCATTTTCCATTATGAACAAAGTATAGTATATTTAAATTTCTGTGTATTTCAGATAATATCCAGAGTGATACATTAATCAAAAAGTGGTTCAATTTAGTCAGTGAAAAAAATGAATTGGTTAGAGAGGAAGAATATCTGCTTGACTCGTAAGTAAAAAAAAAACTACCATCTAAATAAGTAAGTGAAGTTAACTACCATCTGAATACGCAAGTAAAGACAACTAACATTGACAACAAAACGTAGAAAACCTTAATAATCGATACAAAAATGATGAATTGCATTTGTAGCAACAGTGATTAAATTAAACATCTTCAGTAAGAGCAACATGATTTGTGATAGCAGTATACATTTAAAAAATGTCATGATACATTTAAGAATCATTTAGTTAGCTATTTGATGTGTACTGGGTAGTGAATAAAGAAAACAACATTTACTTTTTATAATGTATTCTTAGAATGTTTAGATGTATATCACACATTTTGTATTTGTTGACAGCTTAAGTTTGTTGGAACTTGAAAGTAAACAAGAAAGTGTTGAATCACAGTTGCAGGCCATAGATAATGTTAAAGGTATGTATCACGTGATGATGTTAGAGCTGTTTGTCATAGCTGGTATTTGTGGGTTAAACACACCTGTGATTGTGGGTTCCTGAACACACCAAACTTAACTTCAGCTTGCATAACTAGATCACTTTATTTGCAAAGTAGAAATAATATGAATCCATCATAGATTGTGTGTACAGCCTTCACTTGATATAAAATAGTAGAAAATACATTAGAGCAACCGACTATCTTTCCCACACTTCTCGGTCATAGTTCAGTCTTCCTTTCGTCTATAGTGGCTGTATATTGGCTGTCTAACATCGAATTTACCGCGGGTTGTATACCCCTATATTAGCTCTCCTCAGTCAGAGAGCGATCTCCAAAAAGCAAGGAAAATAAAGTGATTGATCGATAATGCATTCACTTCCGATGGCCAGATATTCAAATGTCAATCACGTTTCACAGCAAATACAATCCACACGAATACAGTCTGTTTCACTGTTTTTACACATTAAAGCCACAGAAAAACTTTCACTCACGTTAAGATTATCGTGCTTACTCATGTAATACTTTAGTAAACTTAAGTATCGCAGCTAGGTAGAATATTTGCGATGTGTATTTGTGTGAGGGCTGACAATGTTGCACTTGCTGTGAAAACTTAAATATTAAACTTCGTGACAGCTTTAGAATTTTTGAAGAATCATGCAATTTTTAAAATGTGATCGCAAAATATAAAACTATCGTACAGTGAAATCAAGATCTCAGAAGAAAAGTTTTAAAAAACTAACAAAAGAAAAGATTGCTTTGGTCCAGCAGAGAAATGACATCGTCAACAGGATGGAAGAGAATCGATTGAGGTAAAACATCAGATGTTTGTCTGTCACAAGTCATGTCATTTACACAGTATCGTCTAGTACTGATCACAACAACTTACCATCTAATTTGTTAGAACCCAAATCATAAACAATAGACCATAAACAGTTAGCATATCATAAAGTAACGAAATAATTCTTTTATTAGGTATCAGGAAGAAGACGAGGCAATAGCTGCAAAGTTAAAACTTGGTATGTCGTATGTTTACCATTGAGGAATATTTCTGTTAATTATGGTTGGCTTATAGTATGTGTTTTTATAGTAAAGAGCCTACATTTTGAAAACTATTAAAAAATAGCAGTAAGATGAAGGCTGACTAATATTCTATCATTACAAATTAAAACTGCAAATTAAACAAATTCTGTTAATTTAAAACATTTTTATTTATTTGCCCCAGGTTTAAAATAGATCACGCCAAACGTGTTTGATTTTATCCTGATGACACTACCCTGGATACAACTAACGTGATGATCCTGATTATACGACCCTGAATACAACTAACGTGATGATCCTGACTTTACGACCCTGAATACAGCTAACGTGATGATCCTGATTATACGACCCTGGATACAACTAACGTTATAATCCTGATGATACTACCATAGATACAACTAACTAACAACTATACGACCCTGGATACAACTAACGTGATGATCCTGATGAAACTACCATGGATACAACTAACGTGATAATCTTGATGATACTACCATATATACAATTAACGTTTTGATGTCCAAAGAAGATACAAAGTAGTTTTAAAACTTACATGTCACTACAAAAATATATTACATAAAAATTACGAGATTTACTTTATCTTTACAAAGACTTATAAACAAACAGATAATATACTTTATTTAAAACAATATTGTTGAATGTAATACTATTTATTAAATTTAATATGTATATTTGTTAATGTAAAAATAATATATTCAAATAAATACTAAAACCCCCATATAGATAATAAATAAACGAAAATTTTGTGATTAAAAACTTCATTATTGACAACAGTGTTTTCATTTCTGCTTGAAAGTTTTATGTTTCACTAAAGACGTGTAAGATCGACATCTGTGCAATTTATAACGTTGGTTAATTGGTTAAACATTGAAGCACTATTAGAAATGCATTCACTAGATAGCATTCCTGTGTTTATTTTTGCATAATTTACAATACACAATAGTAAATAAGAAATATTTGAAGTCGAATATTGCGTTGAGTATTCAGCATTTTTTGTTGTTGTAAACTTAAATAAAATACATTAATAAAATAATATCAAAATATCATATAAGCTTTTTATTCTAAAACTCATTGAAGAAGAATTGCTTTCTTTCAAATAGAATATGCTTATTCTTAGTATTACACAATGACATGTTTTAACAATTTAAAGCAGAAAGGAATTCACTTACAACTGTGTTTAATTTTTAAAAGTATGCGCAAGTAGGATTAACTATACAATAATGAAGCTCAATAAACTTCTTATAAAGTAATACTAATTGATTTATCATGACGGATTGCTAGTGAAATTGTGGATGACAGAGTTACTGGAAATTTAAAATTAAGAAAAAAGTGGCATGTAATTTCAGACAGTGCACAGTAAACAATGTCTTGCAAATTGAGAAAAAGGGGGTGCGCAGGAGATGGTGTTGGGGGCTACTTACATGGCTTAGCGTAAAATAATGATAGTTGCATGAATCGTTAGCGTATAAAGAATCTTTCATTAATAACACGTGAATTTTCTTTTCCCAAATAGATATACAGAAAAAAAACAATTCACTAAAATGTTGGCTATTTATAGCTCCAATTATTATTTTTATGTGTTGTGTGGAATGCTTGTTACTTAAATAGGTAAATGCATGGCATAACATATACACTGCAATAACACAATTACAAAAACATTGTTATTTCCAGTAATTATATAAGCAACAGTGATCACCTTCATAAGGTTTGAAAGGCAATTGGTATAGTTTAAACGCAACATATTAACACGTGAAATATAAATAGGATACAATACTTTCCCTGTTGTAAACAAATCCCAAAGAGAAAAAAACGTTAGGCTCTATTTATTTTCAAACTCAATGAGTCAAGCAACATTTAACCATATATATATATATATATATATATATATATATATATATATATATATATATATATATATAGCTATAAAACACGACACAGGGTGTTTCAGAATACATAAATGTCCCACATTATTTTTAATACACTGAATAATAAAGTAATACGCGCGTGTAGATCAGATTTCGAGTGTTTAACACACGTGAAGAAAAGACTATCGTCTGACACAAGGTCAGCTATTTTTGGTTTAGTTCACACACAACTCCACAAGGAAGTGATATACCTATGCTAGTTTACACTGATGTTGCTGTGATATCGAGGGAGGTAAGTGTAGTTGAATTACGATATTGTAGTATTTATTTGCTCGAAAAGTAACTTTAATAATATGTAGTATCACAACATAAAGAGAAACCCAATCCGAATATATGATTTAGAGCTGTGTACACAGAATAATATTCGAGTTATTCACCTTTGCCTTTTTATGTTTTACGTTAGTGTTGGGGTAAAAGATAGATGCTGTTTAGCCGGTGTTTAGATTAGACAATAATAAATCATTGTTGCCCAAGGAAATGTCAGTTTTAATCGTGGACTTAATAAACCCAGAAATCGATGGTCTGGCGGATTATGTTATCATATATATATATATACGGGGTGCAGTTCTGACCAACATCAAAAACATTGTAGGCCTGATATTTATTTCTTCACCTTATTTCTTCACCTTAAATGTATTTTCAAGAGACCCGCATATATATATATATATATATATATATATATATATATATATATATATATATATATATATATATATATATTTATATATATATATATATATATATATATATATATATATATATATATATATATATATATATATACATATATATACTAGCTAATACTCTAGGAAGGATTTTTGGTAAATTGTAATGAAAAGTCGTCACATCATTTCTTATGGTCCATGCTTTTTATACCAAAGTGTGATGTATGAAAATCTTTAGTGTACGTTGATCACCCTCGGCAAGGATGAGGATCAACACCCATCAGCAATATTGAAGTGTCAATGGGCGTCGCGAGGCGCTCTGCGGGTGAACAGGGCCTTGATTATACGAGCCAACCCTATTCCTAACTATTGAACTCCTTAAAATGAATGTAGGTGCTACAGTACTTACATGGGATCCAAGGCGTTTAGGGTCATTCGACTGTTGAATTATGCACCTTTAAGAAGCTGTCCAAGCCGGCCAATTAGCGTGACCCTTTATTTGTCAAATAGGCTTATATTATAACGACCCTTTTAAGTTCAATGTGTGTTCAATGTGGTTTATGAGAATTGTATTTAAAGTATGGGCGATTATGGTTTATAGGTGTGTCTTTTAACGCTATGCGGGTTAAAGTTGCAAGTAAAATATCAAGTTTTCATGTGGGTTAATGACAGCGATTTTCACTCAAATCATTTTAAAGTCTTTATAATAAATTCTATTTGCTATATCTACTCAGAACTGTGATGAAAATTAAGTCATCATTTTTGCGACGAAGTAACCCGTTTAAATCAAAATAAAAATGTTTGAAACAATATATTATATATTTCAATGACGTGTTTACAGTATCTGACGACTGGCTAATACGTTTCATTCTCTTTCAGACAACGTATCGAAATGATGTTAAGAATATTCTATAAAAGCTGGTTTACACTCTTTGGCATTCGCTGTTTCTTTTTTGGAATGTGTGGTATAGTTTTATTTTTTAAGATCTTTTGCTATCAATGTATATTAATGTTACTAGTCGAAACAACTGTTTAAAAATAATTAAACTCCGTGTAAATGTAGGTTTAATGCACAGTAATAAAATGTATCAACGGTATGTACATATGTTGCCTTATATACAGACATTCATTTTCAAAAGATAACACGGTCGAAACGTGATTATTTCAAGCATGAGTGTATGGATTAAATGGAATACATTTTTATGGTAAAATATATAGTTTTATTATTGATATAACCCCTACTACAGTTGCAGATATCTGGTTCGGCAGCAACCAACAGTATCTGTGTCGATGTACGGACAACAAATGTTTACCTGATGGAACTTGTGCTGATGGTGCCAGATGTTTAAGTGAATGGTTTGGTCCGTCTTGTCAATATCGTGAGTAAAATAAGTTTATTAATGTAGCTAATTGTTGAAGTGAATTGTTTGGTCCGAATTGTCAATAACTGGGGTAAAAAAGTTCAATAATGTTCTTATTTTCATAGTTTTTAATTTTCTGAGTATTTATTTTCTGAAAAAATAAAACAATGTGTTTTGTTTAATGTTTGAAAGAATTACGCTTGTTAAAATTAAAAGTAATTTACATAATGCCAGCACAATTTTGTATTTCACAGAAAATCTAGCCACAGTTTATACAGCTAAAGTACAGCCAGATAATTCTTTGATTAGTGTCACAGATGACATCCAATGTAATATCAACTCTGGCAACACATACATGGAAGTTACGTGGAATATTTCATATCCCTTCACGTTTCTTTGGTTACGTTTTACCGCAGTAGGTTAGATTGTACATAACTTCTTTCAAACAAAGTATTACATTTAGTTTATTAATAAAAGCCATTTAACAAAATTATAAAATAATTGCAATCAACTATTAGTTCACTAAATTTCATGCATTGCGGTTGTAATTATTTTAATTTTTGTTATAAATATCTAATAATACCTAACTTTTTTTTATTGACAGTTAACAAAGATAGTCTAAAGCACGGGTTCCCAACCTGGGGGTCGCGACCCCCAGGGGGGTCGCGAAGGTCATTCTGGGGGGTCGCCAACTGGTATACTAAACCTTAGTAATTTGAAACAAAACATAAATATTTAGAAGAAATTTTTTTTAATTTGGCTTCATTAACATCACTGGAAATGTAATAGAGAAGAAAAAAAGCGCACTGTACAAAGTTGTTCTCAGTCACCAAAGTTGTTCTCAGTCACGAATCTATGAAATCTTCAAAACTAAAACGTCATTTGAGACGAGTCATTTGAACACACCAAAAAATATATGGAGTTCTTTCGTCGGTAAGAAGCTAGTTGCAAACGCCAGAAATTTGATCGAACAGGAAGTTTTCACCAGCATTAGTGCAAGCATCAAATGAAGTCGCGATAGAAAATGCCAAGCAAAAAATAAAAAAACAATAGGAGAAAATCTCATCAAACGCTGCATGTACGTAAATGTTAAATAACACATTTTTATTGAAATTAAGCTTTCACCATTGTTTGCTTTTCAAGTTGATAAATCAACAGACGTGAGTTCGTGTTCGCAGTTGCTAGTCTGTGTCTATATTCATGCGGATGATAGCAAAGAAGAGTTGCTCTTTTGTGAAGATAGCATGGAGAAAATAAATAACTTTTTTTAAACTGGATGATTAAAATGGGTTACAACGGCTGTGGGGGTTTGTACGGATGGTGCGCCATCTATGTTTAGCTCAAAATCGGGCTTTCAGAAAACAGAAAAGATTTAGCTCCCTAACCACTGCCCTAACCAATCGACATCAAGAGTCCATTGCTAGTATAAGTCGTAAATTATATAAAATCTGGAGCCTTCAAAGAACTGAGCAAAAACATTAATTTAGATCACGAGGTTCTGCTCTTCTACACTACAGTACCCTGGCTGTCAAACGAAATGTTGTAAATTGTGTTTTTGAATTGAAATCTGAAATCAAGTTGTTCTTGGGAGTGCAAAGGAAACAAGACTTTTTGGTATACTTAAAACGACATAGAGTGGTTGGAGAGAGTATCATACCTAGCAGATATGTTCGAACATCAAGATAAACTTAACCCGAAGCTTCAGGGAAAATGAAAAAATATTATAACTTTCCATGATAATCTCGGGGCATTTTTATCAAAGCTGCAAAATCGGTAAAGAAAACAAATCTTGGAAATATTGTAAATTTGAGAAACTCTGCGGTGTGGTAGATGCATCTGATTGTGAGATAATTAACATTTTAAAAGAAGCGATTTCTGGGCATCTTGAATCTCTTGAAAACGAACTGTATCGCTATTTCTCTGAGCTGAAAAAAGAAGAATCTGCATTATGCATTACCCATTCTCTTCTTCCCTTGATGTTGCCAGCATTCCCGATGAATTGAATTCTTTAATTTGCAGAATGATTCCGAGTAAGATGAAAAACTGCAGACACAATTTTGGTGTAGTATTCACCATTCATATCCAAACGTAAAATTGATTGACTTTTCGAGAATATATTTTCAACACTATTCTTCGATTAAAAACAAAATTAAGATAATTATAATGACATAAGTTGGCGTTAACAAAAAATGTTTTTAATTAAAAACTTAACCACGAAGGTTTAGTGAATAGTATGCAATTATACTCATGCTATTAAAACAGTTATCAAGAGTAGTTTATATTGAAAGTCTACTAGAAAATCTTATTTTAGTGCTTATTAATTTCCATACTAATTTCGGCTTTTTAATTCTATGGGGGTCGCGGGTCACTTACTTTTTATAAAAGGGGGTCGCCACTCGAAAAAGGTTGGGAACCACTGGTCTAAAGTTTACTTTGCTAATGAATGACTTTAATGTGGAGCAAATGCAAGTGTTAAAAATAAGCAATACAACAATTGAAATACGTTCTCCAAAAATATCAACAATAAACCGTATAAAGATAGGAGGCGACATATTTCAGAATGTCTGCTCTATTTATATCAGTGGGGGTGAGTAAATCTAATACTGGTGACAAACTACAACTTTTATCAAACTAGAACTCGATATTACTTACTACGATGTTGATTCTTTTAGACAATTATAATTTATTTTTTAATAAATTTACCTCCAATGAAGAATAATTTATTTTAATTTTTAAAAGATAATGATAATTAATTTCTTTACTATTCACCAGGTAGAAATATAGCTCTAAAGCAAAGCTCATCCCAGGACAGCTACTATAATATCACTACTCACAATGCAACTAACGCTGTTGATGGAAATAGAGACACAGACTGGTACTCAGGAACGTGTGTGCACAGTATCGATATGATTGGGGATCACTACTGGATGGTGCAGTTCGACAGAGAATATTTGGTTAGCAGATATGTCTTGTACAGTAGATTGGATAAACCACCGAGTGAGATTTGTATTACTTTTTTCCACATTGCATTACCTTTACATTATTATGCAAGCTTTTCCTCTATTTGCTATTATTAGTACAGTTTCAGATGACAGGCAATTTATAATGTTCTGCTTTGTTTGTTTAATTTGCAAGTACAAATTTCAATAAATAAAAAAAAAAATAGAAAAATTTCATTGCACGAGTATTCTTGAAGATAATTTGTATACAAGATTGGAAAAATGTTGCACGGTAATGTATGAGCATAATTTGTGAGTAGATTCTACACAGAGAATAGTGTTATTGAGTTTTAAGTATGGTACATATGTAGCATTTAAGCTCACCAAATATAAATACTTCAAGATTCTGGCTGCTGTATATATCGCCTCCAACACTTCAGACTGGTGAGCTGGGATAATTATGGACTAGCAGTTCTAAATTACACCGAAAATGGAAATGTTCCTCAGCTAACGGACACAGTAACTTCAGATAAAGTAAAGGTGTCCAAAGTTACAGTAGTAATTACTAATAATGTTCTCAACTTCTGTGAATTTGAAGCCTACGGGGGTAGGTGTATTAATACATTTTTAGAAATAATTATGTTGTAGATTGTTGAGTAGCTTTATTATCAATATTACTAATACCCAATGAATCGTCATGGTTCTATATTTAGAATAACAAATATGTTCCAATTATAAAAGACAAACATAAACGGCCCTGGAATCTTTAATTGTGTTCTTTTTCTAAACTTTCTCTAAAAATATTTATAATTTTTTATTAAATTTTTCAAATACTATATTTTGTAAAAATCAAACATTTATTCGTTGTTTTTTTTACTTTATTTACTATATACTTTAAGAATACATATTACATATGTGAAATAATGTTACCCAATGTAGCAATTAAACACAAATCATACATAAATGACGATATACTAAATAATATTTTTTTTAACAACAAAACAACAGACTCGCTGTGCCCACCCGGCAAATTTGGCCTAGAATGTAACAAAGAATGTCGATGTAGAAATGACGAGCCCTGCTTTACAGACACAGGAACTTGTTCTTCAGGATGTGCTGCAGGTTATACAGGGATGGGATGTCAGACACGTACGTTGGCTGGATTGTGTTGTTGGCTTTTATTTATTTTTACTTTGTCTTGTTTCTTTTTACTTTGGTTTTTACCGGCGCGTTCTGAATTCCATGTCTTCTATAGAACGCTTTGTTTTTTAAAGCAAGGAAATTACACGTTGGAATATACGACTCATTGCATACTTTGCTTTGGCAATGTCCACAGCTCTGCTCACAAATTGTCTACTAATTAAAATGTATCCAACAGGCGGCGGTCATTTGTGTTATTAATAATCAATGAAAGAGATCTTAACTTTAAAATAAATTATTCATCGGTCGACAAAATTAGGAAGGAATGAAAACATGAAATTCAAACAATTAATCAATAGAGCTTCAATTCAAGGTATTGCAAAATGAGAAGCTATTAAGCATTATTTTAGTTTGTTTGTCTTCACTATGCATTTTAGCCTGCATTCGCGGCACCTGGGGTGTAGACTGCTCGGTCACCTGCAGTAACAACTGTCTAGACATGACGTCATGTGAATCATCAACCGGTGCGTGTGTTGGAGGGTGTGTGACGGGTTTTAAAACACCCAATTGTGAGCAAGGTGAGATTGGTGTACAAAACGTAATGAGTGAATGAATAACGAGACTTGATGAGTGAATGAATAATGAGACTTGATGAGTGAATGAATAACGAGACTTGATTAGTGAAAGAATAATGAGACTTGATGAGTGAATGAATAATGAGACTTGATGAGTGAATGAATAATGAGACTTGATGAGTGAAAGAATAACGAGACTTGATGAGTGAAAGAATAACGAGACTTGATGAGTGAATGAATAATGAGACTTGATGAGTGAATGATTTTAATCAGACTTGGACGAAGGCAGGAGGAGTATAAATGGGCAACGGATGATAAAACATTTAAAGTTTCACATAGACTAGAATGACTACCGATTTCTTTTTAATTGTTCTATTTATTTATTTTTTGGGGGGGAGGGGGGGGGGGGGTTACTTGACTAGAATAACAACATTTGATCTATAACACTGGATTTGGTTTAAAAATGACCATAACAAAGAGCAGGTTGTGAAAATGTTGATTACGATCTGGCTTAATTAAAAGGTTAGGATCTGTTAAAAATAAGACATTATTATAATAATATATAATAATACATAATAATAATATACACACACTACCCATATAAATTGCTCTTACACAAATGTTCCTATTCGCAGCCTGTGATCCTGGAACATGGGGAATCAACTGCTCCATGTCGTGTAGTTCACATTGTGCGGGAGATAAATCTTGTGACCCAGTAAATGGTACATGCTACAGTAGTTGTGGTGATGGGTATACTGGAGCACAGTGTGATCAAGGTAACTACTTTGTGAAGTTTTGAAACACTTACCTGGGTTTACCTTTTATTCTATCTACTTAAACACACTAATGTTCCACATGTTTGAATATTGTAACATTATATTTTGCAAGAAATAGCAATAATCTTCTTTTAAAACGTTTCAACTAAAGTTGGCTGTCATATTTTTACCGATTATGGTGTGCGTCACTAGAAAAAACATTTTAAAAAAAATCATATAAATTGTTTAATTCTTTATTTTCATCTAATCGAACGTTCACAAATTCGTCTTTCTGAACTTCCATCTCTATAGACTAGAGCCCCAGGGATTAGTTTGTCTAGTTTCCTGACAAATACCTTAACAATTCGGATTATTCTCATTTAAAATATGTTTATTTCGTTCTGCAGAAGTATATTCTATTGAACATGATGAAAGCAGAGGCATCGGGATTGGGATTGGAGTAGGAGTTGTGATCACATCTACTGTTTTTCTAATCGTCCTGGCCATTTTGTACCGCCTTGGGATTTTGACGCTAAGTAGAAAGTTGAGAAATGGGAAAAACAGAACATTAACTGAACCAGAGACGAAATATCAAATTGGTAAATTATTATTATTATTATTATTCATATCTAATTAACTACAAAGGAAATTAAGTTAAAATAATTTTAATGCACAATTAAATTAAAATAATGTATTTTGTACATTGAGAATTATTTCTATTCCGAATCAACGCAAACTGATTTCCAGTATATGTTTATGTAGTCTTAGTAAATATCGGCCTAATATTGCTCTTAAAGTATACAAATATATACTTAAATACTTTGCAAATAATACAGAACGCTTGGTTATCAGAAAAGTGTTAACAAAAGTAATTGTCTTTATAACTAAAAGTACTATAAGTCTTTAGTTAAATAGCAAGTAAAATGAAGAGCTTATGATAACTTGACGTGTTATAGGTTAAAATTAAACTTCATTTACCAACAAAATTTCGTTTAAAGCATCGAGTGTGTTTTTGTTTACTCAGAACCCAGCAATGCCTATGATATAGTGACAGATAATGAGGCGACTGGCAATCGACAAGCTCAAGTTCAACGAAACTCTGATGTCAAGGAAAACGTAAACACATATGATGTTATTAATCTAGACGATGTAGGCAAACAGGATTCGAGTTACTGCACAATTAAAACGTAGTGAATTTAAAAAAGACTTTCTTATATATATATATATATATATATATATATATATATATATATATATATAAATATATATATATATATATATATATATATATATATATAAACTACCTGTTAGTACAATCGCTACTTATTTGGTATTAAATTGTCTGATATTTTATTATAACTTATAACAAATTCTAAAATTATTATTATATGTGTAAGTTGCTAATAGAGAAATCAGTATACAGCATGAACTAACCTAGATCGTTATTCTTATTTGCCAATACTTAGGCACTTGACAAAAGCCATCCAAATAACCTATGTTAACATTTGAAATGTCCATTGTGTACTAATACACCATAAGTTATAACAAAACATTTTTTATTAACCAAAATTAATTAGCTAAAAATTTAAAAAAATTATAAAATCAGAATAATTTATTGAGTTTCTTTATTAAGTCCTTAATAAAAATAAAATCTTTATTTTAGTCCTTAAATATTTGATATAAATCTTTGCTTTTTAGCTTCACGGCTCATCTAAGTAATTTATCTATCTAGGTTCTAGATCTAGATATATCTAGAAGTCTAGATCTAGATCGAGAAAGATTACGGAGAAAACTCGAATTAACAAAACCAGTCAAAGCATCTAGACAATTCTAGACTCTATATATTTCTAGATAATTATGAGTTTCTACAATAAACTATTTCAGACCTTCATTATTTTATGTAAGTATTAGCGTACCCGTCCCCCGCTCATTGCCGCGGGGATAGAAGAAAGTCTGACGAAATATATTAGAAGGATTTCACCAACGCGTTACCAATCATATGTTCTTAGACGCGTGACCTTGTTTTCTAAAACTGTGTTATTTAAATGTAAACAATGCCTGCGCTTGGATTATAATTATCGGGACACAGGTTTTCCTACACTACCGCATGAAAACCTTGAGTGTACATTAATCACTCACCGAAATAATGAGGTAGAATACACTTCGGTGAACCCCCATGTGTCAGGGACGTAGAGGGGGGCTCTCAGGAGCCCCCCCCCCCCCCCCGATTACACTACCGCATAGGCGCAGCGTACGGCCCCTGGCTCCTTAAAACTAGCAGGTGCCATCGTGCTCATAGGATAACCCAGCGTGCCAAATACCTTCCTGTAAACAATGATGCAGATTTCGTCATTCGCTAAAGTGACACAAATGAACAGGATTTTTTTCTTTAACACGTAAAAAAATTATTTGACGTGTTTTAAACATCAGTGTGACTGATGCAATATGCTAGCGTTACTAATGGTCTATTATTAGATGCTCGATCTCAATTTCTGTCTGGATCGTCTAATAATAGATGCTTATTGCATCATTCGCAAAGTAACGAAACTCTACAGTAGGCTCCTCATATTCAAAAAGTTATTTTTTCATCTTTCGCAAGGTGACGAAACTGTGCAGGACTTTCTCGCGTTACAAAGTTATTTTTAGAAGCCTGTTGTAGTTTTACCGCTGAATGTAGTAGTACCCCTTACTCTCTATGCAGGACGCTCGATTAACGGATGCCAAGTGCCAACATAGTCGCTCTAAAACTTTGGGCGCCAAACCGTGTATTGACGAAAATTGTACCCTACATGGCGCCGCCCATAAGAAACTTTAGTTTTCTTTTTCGCAGAAATATCCTCGGGAGTATTCTCATCTACTCCCTAAAGTTTCATGGCACTCAGATGAACCGCATCCGAGTTTTATCTTGTATATACCGTGTATAGAGACAAAAATCGCTCCCCCCGGGGGCACCGCCCTTGCAATATTAAAAAATATTTTTTTGCAGAACCCTACCATTGAGTGATCTAATCATCTCCCCAAAGTTTCATGGTACACGGACGAACGGTGTGAAACCGAAATAGACTTTTATTTTTATAAACCGTATAAATAGAAAAAACAAATCGCGCCCTGCCTGGGCGCAACCCCTACGAATTTGAAAATTAGCGCAGAAACCTCCCCATGAAGTATTCTCAACATCTTCCCAAAGTTTCATGGCGATCGTGTGAACAGTGTCAAGGCAATTCACTTTTATTTTTTTATATACCATATATCGAGAAAAGTCGCACCCTCACGTGGCGCCGGCCTTGCGAAACTAAATATGCTTTTTTTTTACAGAACCCTTCCCCAGAGTGTTCTAATCAACTCCCCCAACATCTCATGGCTTTCGGATGAAGTGTGTCAAACTAAAATCGACTTTTAATTTTATATAACGTATATAGAGTAAAAACAAATCGCGCCCTGCCGGGGCGCCACCCCTGCGAATTTGAAATTTTTGTTCGCAGAAACCTCCCCAGGAATATTCTCAACAACTTCCCAAAGTTTCGCTGCAATTTGATAAGAGGTGTGGTAATGCATAAAAGACACACAGACACACACACATACACTGCTTTATATATACGCATATATGTATATATATATATATATATATATATATATATATATATATATATATATATATATATATTTATATATATATATGCAAGTAAGTATGTATGTATGTATATACGCATATATATGTCTTCAAGTATAGTTTTTTTTATGTGCTTAATTTTTTTACCTCCCCCCACCTATACATGGATTAACACATAAGTTATTACGATTCTCAACCAAACCGTTTAGCTCATGCATATTTTGCAAAGGAGTTAATGTAATCCCCCCCCCCCCCCCACACACACACACTCCCACTGATTGCTTTAAACTCTGCTCAGATATAATACTAACGATTTTTATCTATAGTCGGTTATAAATACAGCTTGATGTAGCATGTTTTCTCTATAAATAGCAGGTTTACGTCATGGTGTCACACCCCCCCCCCCTCCACCCTTGTCGGAATTTGTCAAATTTGCTCTTAAAAGACTATTTAACACTCTAATTAATCACTAAATTAAGTGGAATTGTAAATTTGTCTATAATTCTGTTGATACTTTTTGCCTTGGTGTCACCCCCCCCTAGATGGTGTAACCCAGTGCGGTCCGCACCCCCCCCCCCCCCTCCCCCCCCCCCCCCCCCGCACCCTCCCTCGCTTCGGCTCTGTATGGTTAATTGTATAGATGACTCCAAAGAATTATGTAAAAAAGAAAAACATAAGCTATTGAAATCTCTCTCCCCTCTCTATTTCTCTGTCATTAAAAATGGTTTAAAAAATCTTTAAATAAATTGATGTTTTAGCTCACTTGTCCACTTATCAGAGTTTCTTCCAGGCATCTCTTCGCCCCCCCCCCCCCCCCCGAAAAAAAATGTACCGCCCTCCCCCCCACCCCCCCGAACAAAATGACATTAATATAATTCATATAGAAAATATATACTTTTAACAGTGCCCTCCCCCCCCCCCACGAAGAAAAGTATACCGCCCCCCCCCCCCGAAAATTTCAAGTGCCCCCCCCCCCCCCCCCGGAGAAAAAAGTCTGGAAGAATCACTGCCACTTATATGCTGGAAACTGAATATGGAAAGTTATAGAGAGCCCCAACAGTAATGAGAGGAAACGATCATGATAAAGTGCTATTAACAGTAATGAATTGCCTTTCTGTCCCGTTTAAAATGTATTTCAAAGTAATCCAACAACGAAGAGTATGCACATTAGTCCAAACAAGACGTAAGTCGAACCATTAAGCATGAACGTTGTATATTATGTTCACAAAATGCACATAAAGTTTAGGTGGAACTCACATTACGGTTTTAAGTTTATACGAAATCAAAATTTCTAATGGGGTAGGAGGGAGGTGGTAGGGAGGTTGATACATTTAGTGTAGCGACGGTTTAGTAATTTGTGTTGCAAACTGTGTAAAAGGCTAAGAGGGATATTGGATAGTTTTGCGAGTAAAAGGATTTTTGTAAAAAAGACGCAATTACATAATTTTCAAAAAATACTTAACTTGAAGTGGATTAAGATTTAAAAATTTACTTCATGTTCCTGTTTTCACAAAATTTGAAATGAAAACTTCGGTAACTTTTGAGTCATATTTATATGGCATATTAATGCTAACAGACACGTATTTCGAGTATGAAATATGTTTAAAGAATTTTAAACGGCAAGCACAGGCCTGTTCTGTGTAACGTTGTAAAGTAGGTTATTTAAGCCATACAGAGTTATTTTTAGTTATCGTCACGCATGAATAAACTATAATCGAAGATCTTCTAGTTGGTTTAATAGTTTGGTCATAACATGGGGTGTAGAACTACTTTAAATGTTCCAGCTTACATGAGTTGGTAAGTAGGTTCTAAAATCAAAATAATAGCTAACAACTTATTATTGCATAGCCAATGTTAATAATAGTTTTTTACTGTTATGCAACTGCGACAAAGCATTAACTTAACTAGAAAATAATTATATATATATATATATATATATATATATATATATATATATATATATATATATATATATATATATATAATGTTCATCTTACATACTAGCGTACCCACCCAGAGCATTGATGCGGACTGACGCAATATTTTTAGATGCTTTCATCAATGCGTTACCTATCGTATGACTTTGTTTTCCACACTACTGTATAGTCGACGCCCATCAGGCGAGGGCGTCGCGGGTTGCTGTCGTGAGCCGTCGGTTACACTACCGCTGTTACGGCGGTTACGACTCCTGGTTCGGTGTAATAATTGAATAGTGTGTGCCTAAAGAAGGGTGTTTTTTAAACCAAATAAGGCGTCATAGCGATCACGAGAGTGCCGGAACTTAGAGCGCCAAACTGCACCCTGTTGCGACGTAGAACGCTCCTGATTCGGTTAATTAAGAAGAAATAATCGTATCAAGGTAGGAGAAACAAAATTTATATAATACTAGCCGTCCCGGTTAGGCCCCGTGTAAAACTTATCAGTAAATGCCCATACCTTGTGTGTTTATTTAGCAGCATATTATATCCGGCTTTAGGAAATATATTACCTTTCGAATAAACCCTAACTACAACCAACCACAACCAAAATATAAACATAAACACAAAAACAAACACAAGATAAAAAACACACAAACACACAAACAAACGCAAACACAAACACAAAAAACCAAACATAAGCGCA